CTTCCGATCTTCACTCTTCCTGTTTTTCGGTTCTTGTTTTTTTTTCTTCTGTTTCGGTGGCTAAAGAACGAGAGCGAGAGAGAACGGAGGCCAAAACCAAACTCGTTCTTGATCTGTACGTCATCACCTTTTCTTTTCTTCTCTTCTTGTTTTCTGGATTTCGATTTCGTTTTCGTATTCTTCGGTAAAAGGATTTTGTTTTGGTTTTGAGAGATTTAAAAAAAAAATACAAGAGTGTTGAAGATTATCATAATATATATACTGAGAGGAGTTTTTGGCGATGGTACGGACATCATCGGGACGCAGGCTAAGCTGGTCGAGGTCTTTCAGCTTTCGAAAGATGTTCGATGCTCGAAACAACGGCAGTTCGTCCTTCTCTTCCCGCACAAATCCTAGAAACCCTAGCGGAAATGGATCGGATCATACCGTTAACGTCCCCCCATCGGACCCAAACCCTAACGGAAAGCAGCGTCTTACGTCTGGTGAGTAAAACCCTAAATTGCCAAGACGCATCGTCAATGTGGATGTATCTCATAAATCAAATATCAAGATTCTGTTGTCTGGTTAAACATTTCGTTGCTTTTGATTTGTGTTTGGATGTTTCTTTTCAGACATGGAAACGATGAAGGAGAAGTTTGCAAGATTGCTGTTGGGGGAAGATATGTCTGGCGGGGTCAAGGGCGTGTCCTCGGCTTTGGCTTTATCCAACGCCATCACCGATCTCGCCGGTACTCGATCTTTCTTTCGCTTACGAGTCGAATTCTGGAATATCACGCAATAAAATTTGAAGGGTTGGTTTTGTTTTTTTTCGGACACAGCTTCGGTATTTGGAGAGCAGATGAAATTGCAGCCGATGTATCCCGAAACGAAAGCAAGATGGAAGAAAGAAATGGACTGGCTATTGTCTGTGGCTGATCACATTGTCCATTTCGTTCCTTCTAAACAAATGGCCAAAAATGGCGGCTTCACAGAGGTATGTATGTATATATATATATATACACGCACATTTTTGGACTTCCGAACTCTTTTTTCTTTGTTCTTGAATACACTATTGATGATATATTCACAATTGAAAAGGTTACTTGCATGAAAAACTGAACACAAAGTTATCCGATTTCGGTTGCTTCAGAGTCAAGTTATTGTTTGTGCGATCTTGTTCCTTTGCTTTTAGTTCTTGATTTGGGGGATAGATGTACAGCCTTTCTTCATTTTCGACCTTTTTCCTCGTGAATTTTCGACTAAAACGTATATCTCTTGTACATTGTTTCAGATCATGGTGACAAAGCAAAGAGACGATCTGCAAATGAACATTCCAGCGCTCCGCCAGCTCGATTCAGTGATTCTTGTATGTAAACATTCCATCCACATGACACATAATATATGTATACGTTCGATTCGCCGGAGAATTCACAGTACCGTTTCTTCCAAATTATTGATCAAACAGGAGACTCTGGACAACTTCAAGGACCAGAAAGAATTCTGGTATGTGCCGAGAGAAACCGAGGAAGCTGAAAACGGTAGAGAGTGGAGGAGAGACGATGAGAAATGGTGGGTTCCGGTCGTAAAGGTTCCAGCCAACGGTTTGTCTGAAGAGTCAAGAAGATGGTTGCATTACCAGAAGGATGCCGTCACTCAGGTTCTGAAAGCGGCCATGGCCATAAATTCTCAAGTCATGTCTGAGATGATCATCCCCGACAGCTACATCGAGTCTCTTCCCAAGGTATCGATAATGTTTCACGTTTTTTGTTTTGGTTCTTGGGTTTAAGAGATCTCGAAAATTCAATATGATCTTACTTCTTCCCATGAAAAACCATCAAGTTTTAGTGTATCCTTTGACAGAAATGAGGTAACATGCATTGTAATCTGGATATCGAGATCAAATTCCGACAAATAACCATGAATTATGGCAACTGAAATGGAAAATTTAAATTTTGGGTCTTTGTCAAGTTACCATTTCTGCAGTTCATGCTTCTCTTCTATGGTCCATATCTCATGATTTGTGGTCATTTGCTGATGGGTTTGCTCATTTTCTGTCATAGAACGGGAAGACGAGCCTCGGAGATTTGCTCTACAAGAGCATAACAGAAGACTACTTCGATCCAGAGTACTTCCTATCGTCGCTCGACTTATCGACCGAGCACAAAGTGGTTGATCTCAAGAACAGGATAGAGGCTTCCATTGTGATATGGAAGAGGAAGATGCACCAGAAAGAGAAAGACGGTAAATCCTCGTGGGGATCGACCGTTAGCTTCGAGAAGAGGGAAATCTTCGAAGAACGAGCCGAAACCATCTTGGTTTTGCTCAAGCAGCAGTTCCCCGGAACACCTCAGTCCGCTCTCGACGACTCCAAGATTGAACACAACAAGGCAAGTTCTTAACAAACACAACTGAAAAAACAAAACAAAAGGACATGATGATCAGAACCCTGTCCAAACATTGTTCTGACGATGTTCTTGTATTGTGTGATGGATGATGCATTTACAGGACATAGGACAGGCGATTCTCGAGAGCTATTCGAGGGTATTAGAGAGTTTGGCTTTAAAGATCATGTCAAGGATAGAGGACGTTCTTGAGGCAAATCTTTTAGCTCAGACAGATTCCGAATTAGTGTCTTCAGACATCGAAGATCAATCCAACAAGCCGACGCCGACACAAACTCCGAACTCGAGGAAGCTATCGGATTTCATAGGATGGAGACTGACAACGTCAGAGACGAAGAGGCACGGCTCAATGAGCGAAATCGAATGCTACAACAAAGTCGAACACGAAAAATCGGATCAGTTCAAGTCTCCAAAGGCAGCCCCCAAGAAATTCTCATATCTTGCTAAGCTTGAAAACATGAGAAGCCCCACAGAAAGACACTGATAATGATCATACGGGCCGGTATAATAGATATTATAGAGCAAGTTAAAGCAGAAGGGCCTCGGTATTAGTCTCGACTTTAATTCAGGATACTCGATTATCCCAAAAAAAAAAAAAAGTTAAAGCAGAAGACAACTGAAAGAATGCTTCGAGTTTGTGACTGTACATAACAAATGCAGGGTTTGGCGTAGGATTTGGCTGTAGGATTCGTGTTCGTTAGAGACTACGATCGATCGAGATATCGGGTTTTCGCCGTCGTGTTCGTGTACTGCTTCCGGTTTTTATTTTGTTGGAGCGGGAAGTGTGAATCCAGTGTGGTGGGTCTTGGTCATTCTGCAACTTGAGAATGTAGGATATTTTTTGTCGTTATGTTTTTTTTTTCTCTGATGGGATTTGGACATTGGTTTTGGGTTTGGTTATGATCTTTGTTGTTTCATTACAAGTTAACAAGATGAACATTTAGTGCATTTGAAGGATCAAAACCAAACATCATATGATATACGATTTGATTTAAATTTAAGGGTTTTTGTTTTGTTGAATGTAATCATATATATAGGATGTAAAATGGGTTCAGTTCAAGTCTACCTATATTTTGTCAGGGTTAAGAAAATTTGATCTCGAAAAAAACGGATTGAACGAGCCATCTCGGCGAGTTCACGAGTTAGTCCATGAATAAAAAAAATATTTTTTTAAATTTTTTTACTATTTTTATATAAAAAATTATGTTTTTGATAGATATTTAACTTTTAAAATTTTTATTATATTTATAATATTTTTTTAGTATTTATTTTTTTTAATTGTATTTAGTTGGGCGATGACCAAACATTTTCTTGGGCTCGCTGTCAAAACAAATCGGGCCGAAATGGGCCCAAATATTTTGAGATGATACGGGCCGAAATGGGCCCAAATATTTTGAGATCTGATGATACGGGCCGAAACGGGCCCAAATAGTTATTCAAAGATCATCCTCGAATAGTAATCTTTCCATATAGAAAATTGGACAAAATTTATTACAAATACTTAAAACAAAAAAAAGATTACAAATTAAATTAAGCTACATGAGCTCTTGTTTCACAACCACGTCATGGAGAAAACCGTCACCGTCTCTTGTGCCTTTGCTACTCGCAGCAGCATCTTCTTCTTCTTCCCCCGCAACTCTTTCTTCTTTCTCGACCTCTAAATCCGTCTTTTTGATCTCCTTCTCCGCCTCTAATGGCCCGGAAACGTCGTGCTTGACTCCCGGAACCTCGAGATTTAGTTGACGAAACTGTTTCTTGTACCTCGCTCGAAGCCTCTTCCTTTTCTCCTTACCCGTCTCGTTCTTGTAATGAACCGAAACCATATGTGCCGCGAACTTTTGTGAAGTGTCGAACAATGTATTGCATTTAGGACATGTGTACGGACCGTATTTCGCGTAAGGCAGGCTATGAGTTCGTCCATCGTAGGCATCATCGTCTTCGTATCCATCTTCTTCCTCGGAATAATTGAAGAAATACCCCACTATGTCTTCGATTTTCTTCGATGGGCGGGCTTTTTTCCCTCGGCTAGGTTCTGATCGAAAACCTCGAGAGCTCTTGCGCTTATCGCGATTGTCCGGTGGGGCGGAGGAGGGGTTTAAAGATTCGGGATAAATCGGATCTTTGTGAGATCGTGAGGAAAGATTGTCAGGTTTGGTTTCCCTTTGAGGCCAAGGACGATGATTTTGGTTAATACCTTGCGGGAAAACGGTGCTTAGAGGCTCTGCGGTCAAGATCTCGGGACGTAAATTGGCGCGGTCGTCATCGATACTTTGCTCCCCGATAACGTTTTGAGACGAACTCAAATCATTAGAAGGGGAATGCCAAATACTGGATTCACACGCCAAGGCACGTTTGACACGTTGGATATCGTTTTGGATGGGGATCACGGAACTGGCAGGGATAACCGCGGAATACTGCTTCGTGATCGTCTCAGTGATGGACACCCGAGTCATATTAGGGTTATCTTTGATAGGAGAGTAATCAACGAAACTCGAAACCTGAGTCCTCGGAGGCGATATTGAGACGATGTTCCTTCTCATATGCTGAGCCATCCGTCTCCCGAGCTCAAACTGATTGTTGGGCCCGAGAGACGGGAAACCCCTCGGGTTCTGAGAAAAGATGATCGGAGAGGAGGAGGAGGAGGAGGAGGAGGAGCAAGAAGAGAGAACCATGTTGCCATTAGGCTCCTGTTTCGAAAACGTCGAGATATTGGCATAGGCCACATGGTTATTAGACGACAGATAATCGAAAGAGCGGCTCATTTGACTGTTGTGTAAGAACATAGGCTGGTGAGCGTTCATTTGATTTGTAACGAGGCTTTGGTTCAGATGGCTAAGGACAGCAAAATCAAAAGGCTCATCGCCGCGGGAACTGAACACGTTCTGGTTCGAGGGCATGTTGAAAGGCATGTCCACGGGAGGGAGAGAAGGTAGAGACATTCGGACAAAAGTTTTTTTTTTTTTTTTTAAAGAAAGAAAAAGCTCGCAGTTTCAGAGATCGGTTTGGTTTTTTTTGTTTACGAGTTTGGGTGCAACGATCTTTTTATATTGAGAGCCAACAAGTCGGTTTTAGAAATTTGAAAAGGGAATAATGATAATTGCAATAGGAAACAAATCCACGCATATTTACACGTATATCATTTTATTATTAATGGTTTTTATATATTATGTAATACGTGTAGATTTTTTTTCTTCTGAATATTAACATATATTTTCAAAATTGTCCATCGTTTTAATTAATTTTATTTTGCTTAGATTCTAATCTATGATTAAGAGATTGTTCATATAAAGAACAAGAGATATTTTTCTTTTTGTGGAAGAGGAAAGACCACGACATTAAGATACAAAATGCAATCGTACAAATTAAATTTGTTGTACAATACTATTATGATGGATGGTCGTATGATATATAATCATAACTACCAAATCAGTAAATTTTCTCTTGAGTTGTGCGATTCTGTTTGATATATTAATTTCTGAAAAAATTTAAACTACAGATTTCTTTCCAAAATGAATAAAATAATTAAAGTTCGTTGAATAGGCCTTTTTAGTTATATGTAATCTTTATCTTAAAATTAACTGTTGGGTGGGTTGACTCAATCTAAGTAGATATTTTTCCTTTAATTTTATATGGAAAATAGGAAAGATTCCAAAAGTGGGAACTTGATTAATTTAGTGGTAAAACCAAATCTTCCTAACTTGGAAAAAATGGAAAATACAACCCTAAAATTAAAGATTATATTAATTCCAGACCATACTTTCAAATTATTACAATTATTTTTTATGAGGTTTTTTTTTCATTTGAAAATGAAAAAACTAATTACAACTAAAACTACAATTATTTGTATTATACACTCTTTTGAATGAAGTGATATTTAGATTTTGAACATATATTATGAAAAGATGTGAAATGTCTAATCGTCGTTATTTAATATAACATCTTTATCTTTATAATTTGAAATTGATATTTTATATCCAATGTTAAATTAGAATTCCTTGTGAAACTTTTATTTTTATTATAGTATTATACAATATATATATATATATATATATATATATATATATATATATCTTTCCCGATTTAAAAGTCCCAATATTTTGAAATTAAAAGAATAACTTGGAAATTACTGTAAAATTTACAGTAATATTAGAAAATATACTACTTTTAATAAGAAAAAAAGCAAATATAAAATGATAACTATTTAGATATATGAGGTATTTTATTCTGTGAGAATATGAAGTAAAGAAGGACCAATATTTTCAAATCTTGTATTTAGATATATGGTCTTGTCTTTTATTTTACAAAAGTAAAATAAAAAAACAATTTTTTTCTAATTTTTTTCTCTTAGAATTGACCATACTATTCGTTTTTTATTATGCAAATACAAAATTAACCATATCGATATTGACATATCGTAATCATTTGAGTAATTAAAAGTTTTATGTTATTAATTTTGTAGTCAATTTTACAATTACAGAAAAAAAAAATTTGTAGTCAATTTTACTTCTTTCTTTCTTTTTCTTTAAACACTGATGTAGATTCAATCGCAAATAAAACATTATTAAAAATACTAATTCTTAATTATTCTCGAGCAGCTCAAACTCCTTAAATCTCATGATGAGTTGATTCCTTAAATGGATAAATAAAAAATCTCATAATTTATTTTTAGATTTATTTCTTTAACGATATGCTAGATTTAATTAATTAATATATATAAGTAATTTTAAGCTAATAAATATGGTTTTCCATTTTTGTTTGACTAAACAAAAAAGAAAAATGTAAAATATATCATACTAGGCAACAGACATCAAGTACTTTTATAGAATCGTTGATTAAAATATTACAGACCAACAATATTCGTGTGCACACATACACACACTTTTTTAGGTATGTATCTAACGTGTGTGTGTGTGTGTATATGGTAAAATTTTATATTGAACGAAAAAAGAACCTTTTTATCATGCTTATCAATTAAACCAGAAAAGAAAAGAAAATGGGCCTTATATATTGTAAAAGAATATTATATTCTTATAATACTTGCTGGGCATTACGAATACGATATAATTATTTTTCCAAAAAAAAAAATCAAATACCCAATGTGATGAAATATAAATTGAATACAAACCAATATCGCAGTGTTCATATACATGCCATGGAAAATCAAATCTGCAACGATCCGTCGAAATATTGCGTTGAATGGTTCACGGAAGCCGACAGTCCTCCGGGGAGAGAATTCGTACTCCCGAGCCTAAACCCGTCGAGGATCCAAAATCGAATCCCCTTGCCCCAAAGAGAGAATCAGCTCTTACTGCCTCTCCCCATTTTCATCGAGATGAAACCATTGTCCATCACAAACCCATGCATCGTCAATAGCTTTGTGCCCAAAAGGTACGTATGGATTTCACAATATATATATATATATATATTTTTTAATTTCTCAATTTGTGAACCCTTTTTCGATAATTACGACAAAATATCTTCTATTGTATATCATAAAATCCGCCATGTAATTGTGTGTTGGTGTTGTGTCCTAATGATCCAAGTCTAGATTTGGGTTTTGGCACAAGCAACTAATCTCCTTGGATTTTCTTCGGATGGGTATATCTCAATTCAAAATATACAAAAAAAAAAAGAATCAACCTATCAATAATATAAAAAAAAATCAAATATTCATCGGCTTTTTATATATAGGCTGATAAAAAAATTTATTGAATTTTTTCTGATAATGTGAAAATTTATCGGGTCTTTAGCTTAATTACATTTTTTTAAAAATTAACATCAATTTCTCTCTCCAAATTGATTTTTTCTTTTTTTTTATCGGTACTAAAACAAATAAAACATTTGAAGTTTGGATTTTTAACATGGGAAGCAATTGCGTCGATTCAAGGCAAAAGGGAAATTGTGATTTCATCGTCTCGGCCAATCAGATTTGTTTTTCGTGTACGGTATTTCGTAAATTCTTTTTTGATAATTTTCCAATAAATTGGAAAAATAAATGTAAAATTTCCGCCAGGTGTCGTGGTTGTGGCGACTCCTTCCCGACCGGCAGTTCGCTCATTGGACACGTGAGCTCTCACTCTGTGAGAAGGAAAAAAGAGTGTTACAATGATGACGTCATTACCACCAATAAAAAACAAAGGTCATAAAATTTTGTTCGGATGTTTTTTTTTTGTAATTAATTTGTTGAGATGTCTTGCGCTTTTAATTAGCGTTGGTCAAAATCATTCATTTTTTAGAACATTTTGTTATATTTTGTCTCTGTTTTGTTGGGATAGTTTTCGACATTTAAAACAATTATATAACCAAAGAATTCTAGAAAGAACGGATTTAAAAAAAACTCACAAGTTTAATCATTTTATATAATTAAGGAAAAATCTCTTATTCTCCATGAATTTTTTGGTAATATTTTCAATTCCTATATCAATTTTTTAATTTGTCAAAGATTTATATAAAAAATTTAAAATTTTCAAAATCTCACACTAAATCGCAAAATGTGTTACAATTTTCTACCTAACCATGTGATTTCGGGGTTCGGTTTGCTTTGGTTTTAGAGATTTTGTTTTAAGGATTTTAGTGATTTAAGCAATTTTGATTTAAGGAATTTGGATTTTTTTGGTTTAAACGATTGATGTTTTAGATAATAGTATTTGGATGGAGATGTAGGACGTTTCAACACATCTTGCGATTTGTTGTAAGATTTTAAAAAATTCTGATTTTTATGAAAGTTTTTATCAAATTAAAGACATATAGGAATTGAAAATATTAACAAAAATTCATGGAGAAATATTTGATTTTACCTGTAATTAATAATGAAACTTAAATTTAAGCCAAAATAATGATTGGATTACATCTCTAATTGAAAGCCAACGCAGAAATCTAAATGAAAATTTTAATGCAAAATTTATTTTTAATAATTTATTCGCAAATTTTTTAAAATGATTATCACAATGGCTGTGAACAAATGAAATATTAACCTCAACCCCGTTACATAATTTTAACTTCTACACATTTCCAAGTATGCTTGTTAAAGGATAAAATATCACATAACAATATATTTATATTAATCTTTATATTCATTTCGAATGCTATAATTTACTAAAGATAATAAAATTGGACAAATCAGAAAAAAAAAACACATAATACATAAACAACTCGATCAAAGTACTGATAAACATAATTATCGAAATTAATTCGACCAAAAAAAAGGAGAAACTCGTTCTTAAATAGCTTGAAGAAAAGAAAACAAAAGAGAAAGATACCAAAAAAAAATCTTAAAAAAAAATCAATGGACCTTCTCGAAGGACTGGAGATTCATGGAAGGATGATCCAACGGTTTCTCTAAAACGACAGCCTTGTAGACGTTGGCCAGTCCCGTGCCGGGGTCCGTGGCCTGGATCCTTTCGTGGAACTCGACTCCGACACCGTTTCCGGCCAATCGCGTCTGCGCCTGGAGAACACGATCGAACCTCAGGTCCGCATTTGCGAGCTTGTTATGCTCCAACACTGCGAATTTTCCGGTCTCCACGACTTTAGGGTCCGACACGTCCACGTTCCGCAGGCTGTCTCCTCGGACCGTGGCGATGAGAGTGAGGATGATCATTGCCTTCACCAGTTCCATCTTTAAGAAAAAAATTAATTCGTATTTTGTTTCCTTTTCGTGCTATGGCCTCGGGTCTTTATAGCTGCTGGCAGACGTGACCATTTTGGTTTTAATTCGATTATTTCCATTATTTCAATTTAAATAATCTAAAACTGATCATATTATATATTCAATTCGATTAGCTTTGGTTTGATTCGATTTCGATTTTTATTTAAAAACTATTTTTCCAAAAAAATATTGATTTTTTGGTATTTTATTTTGCTCAGGTTAAGTTTTTTTATTGTAAAGAAATTCAAACATTTTGTTTTTACAGTCGAATTCTATTTGATGATTTCATTTTAAAAATATTTTAAACATTCCGTTTTATATTAAATTCGGTTCACTTCAAAATCAATATTTCTTGATACCATATTTATTTTTCAAATAAATAATCGATTTATTTCTATTATTTTTATTCAATCCAAATTTAATTTTTTGAATTTAAAGAAATGATATCCATTCAATTCTATTATAGTTATATCTCATTCGAATAGAATCATTTTTGTTATTTGGTTAACGAAATAATCTGGACCATTGGTTCGTCGGTCGAGACCCACGTTTGTTTTGGAAACTGACTATACTTTTCAACTCGTATCATGGGCTGATTCGCGCAATCCATTATATTAAGTTTTTGAAATATAATATCAAAATTTATGGACCTCATTATATAAATTATAGTCCAAAAGGATAATTTTTAAGTAATCGGATTTGGTTACATTTCCAAGCTGTCCTCACTAAACCAAAAAATTGCATATAAAATAAACTATTCATGCGTTCATATTTATTGAGAAAATGAAAATACCAGAGTTCATTCGAATTCTTCTTTTTTTAATTATGAATTTGTGATTCATTTTATAGAAAATTGGAAAAAAATACTAAAATAGTTTATGAAATTTACAGGAGGCTTTGAAATTCGAAATGCAACAGTGGGAGATCATTTAGATTTGTTCCACCAGAATCTTCAGTATCGTGATGGCCAGCATATACGTGCTCGTAAAAAAAATGAAAATAAAAATAAATTAAGGAAGAAAGTTTATAAAAAAAGGGGGAAATTCCAAAAAAAAATCCCTAATTTGATGTAATGTACCAAAATAATACCTCAATTTCTAATTTGACAAATAAGTACCTTTATTTGATCAATTTTGTACCAAATTGATAACGCCGTTTATCAACAGTTTAATTATACTTACGTGGCTTCATATGTGAAAAAAATAGCCACGTGGAACAATCTGAATGAAAACCGACATTGCACTGAAATTTTCAAATCGGTTTAAATTGGACCGATATAAAGCATCTGAAAAATAAACCGGTCAATTTAATAAACCATAAACCCCAAAATCTATCGAAGTTCTCTGTGTGCGGTTTCTCTTGCGTATAATTCGGCAAGATCTTCAGGTCGGGCTGGGCATTTTTACCCGAGACCCGCGGGTTTTTGGGTACCCTGTCTCACGGGTACCCGAGATTCATTACTCGCGAGACAACGAGACAGAGACCGAGTTCCATGAGACGAAAAATCCGAGTCTCGGGTTCGGGTTCGAGTTCGAGAATTTTGTGACGGGTTATCTCACGGGTACCCGGTAAAAAAATTAAAATTACAAAAATACCCTTAATATTTAATATATTTACAAAGAATACCCCTAACCCTAATTTACCCTAACTAGTAACTACTCTCTCAGTCTCTCTCACGAAATGGTCTGCCTCCTCTTCTGTCTTTAGAACAACTCCCCTCTTCAGTCTTCAGAACCAGCTCTCTCGCTCTTGGTCTCTCACTGTCTTTCGCTCCGTCGGTCGGGTCGGCTCTCTCCGGTGCTCCGTTCGGCTCTGTCTCCGCCGTCGTTCGGCTCTGTCTCCGCCGTCGTTCGGCTCTGTCTCCGCCGTCGTTCGGCTCTGTCTCCGCCGTCGTTCGGCTCTGTCTCCGCCGTCGTTCGGCTCTGTCTCCGCCGTCATTCGAATCTCGATCTCTCTCCGTCTTTCGTTTCCGTGCTCCTCTGCTCGATCTCCGGTTTCGCTCTGCTCGATCTCCGGTGCTCTGTTCGGCTTCCATTCGGCTCTGCTCGATCTCCGGTTTCGCTCTGTCTGTCGGCTCGTCTCTGCTCCCGTGCTCCGCCGTTTCTTCACCATCGTTCGGCTCTGTGAATTTTATGTTTTTTTGATGTTTTTGGATATATGTTTGGTTGCTGTTGAACTTATGCTGTATTTTGGATGTTGGATTTTATGTTATTGATGTATTAATTTTGTAGATTTGTACAGATTTTTTTTTTTAAATTTTACACGAGTTCGGGTTCGGATCTCGCGGGTACCCGAACTCGTGTCTCGGGTACCCGAAGCTCGGGTACCCGGGTTTCGCGAGATAAAGACCGAGACATTTTAATCAAAAACCCGACGAGACCGAGATCGAGATAAAGATATCCTAAAAAGTCCGGGTACCCGCCCGTGCCCATCCCTACTTCAGGATCTCCGATCACGAAATCCATCTCCAATCGTGAAGTCAACCAAGTCGCGAGAATCGGTGCAGAAGAATTCGAAGCCCAATCCTCGTCCTAATCTTTCGGGTTTCTCGCTATGAAATCGGATCGGACAGAGGAGGTTTGTGGTGGCGAAGAAAACTCGAAGAAGGAGAAGAGAGACGCAGCGGTTGTGGATTACGGCGGCTGCGGAGGTGGAAGGAATGCAAGTGTGAAACGAAGCCCAAGGGGAACACGCATAAGCGTTTATGCGTCGCGTATGAAAATTTATGGTCTTCGCAAGAGGGTTTTTTTTTTTTTTAAAAAGAGAGTGAAATGGAGGAAGAAAAGGGAGATTTGGATTGTTCTACTGCGCAAGAGTGCGATCATTGATGCCAGAATGTTGCGGATGCGGATGCCGATGACGATTATGGAGAAGAACGTGGGGAGTCGGGTCAAATTGGGATATCTACGATGAAGAAGAGAAGGGAAAAGCTTCTGTAACAAGCCTGGGAAAGTGATGCATCCCATCGAAGCATTTGAGAAGCTTTCCTGCTTACCAATTTCAAAGGCAAGCAACAGAAAGGAAGAACACCAAACGGAAGCGACAGTGAAGAAAGGATGAGATAGATTTGAGGATTTTAGGGTTTGATATTGACCGGTTTATTTTTTAGATAGTTTATATCAGTCCAATTTAAACCGATTTGGGATTTTATAATTTAAGATTCGAATTGGAATTTGATTTTTGGTAGGGTGTAAAACAAGCTGCTGGTTCGAACCGGTTCATATTTTTCTGAATAAGAATCAAAATATTTGAACCTATACAAAACGGATCAAACAAACTAACCCGTCATGAGCCGCCAGTTCATCACGAATTGGACTGCGATCAGATTTTTTTTTTTAAATTTTAATATTTTAAAATATTTTTATATATAAATTATATTATTTATATATTTACTTTGTTTTGTTTAAAATTTTAAAATTTTTATTATATTTTATATAATTTTAAAAATATTTTAAATATTTTTTAATATTAAAATTTTATTTCTAAAATTTATATATTTAGCTCGTTTGGTTCGCAAGGTAAGACGATATAGATTGAGTTGATATATTTTTGACTCGCTAAAAACGGATTGAAGTGGACTGGACTAAAATTTTTCTAGATAAGAATGAGTCGGACTCAGTTGAACCGGATCAACCCGTTTTATATCCTAATTTTTTGTTTTAGATTTTATAATATTTAAAAATTCAAAAAAAAAATCTAGTTTTTGGTTTTTTATTAATTTTTTTTACAAAAATAGTTTTTTGAATATTAATTTTTTCTATTTTTAGATTGTAAAAATTTCAAAAACTCCAACCATTTAAAGTTTTATAACAAATAACTCTTGACTTTTTTTAACAGTGTTGTCAATAAAAAATTATATTTTCCAAAAAGTAATTATTCAGTGGGCTTGCTCCATTTGTGGTTTTGGCACTTGGACTTTGAGCTCATTGGGCATTTGGGTTTTTTATGTCATTGCTCATGATTTAGTTGCGGCCCAAAAGTAGTAAGTTTTTTTTAGAGTTGGATTATAAGTAGCTAAAGAGTTTATTATCCATATAAATGGGTAATTTGTGGGTTTATAGGCAGTTATTATACTTTATGGATTTTTTGTTACTTATTTTACATTACTAAATATATATATATATATATATATATATAGTAACCTTGTGATGCATACATAATAAATTCAGCAATATATTATCTTAAGAAAATCATCACGAATCACATAAGTTTTTTTTTCTTACAAAAAACGGGATTATAATTCAATAGCCGAAAAAAGTTAGATATCAATAAAACGAGTACAACTTCAATAATATTTGATAAAAAAATATTTTAAAATTTGTAAAGCATTTGAACCCATGTGTTAGGCATTAAACTTTAATTTAAAATTTAATTTTAAGATTGTTTATAATTTTTATCCGAAAACAATAGCTTCTAAGGACACGATTGGAAAAAAAGTATACTGATGATGTTTACTAAATTCATTACTTTTTATTTTGTTTTTTTCCAAAAAATGTATCTCCCGGAAATAATTGAAAATATACACAAGGGCACTAATGTAATTTGGCTGATAATATTCCATGTTTTTCCTTGATGAGAGCTCCATATAATCGGCCAGCCCAACATAAAAAACGACGATTACATCAAAAGAAAAAAAAAACGCGAAATGAAAACCCAAAACCGCGAAGGAAGAACGAACCAACTCCAAAAAAAATCAGTACCATCACACAATCTTTCGTAAATAGAGACACAGCCACGAGCACACACATATATTCAAAATCAACAGACATACGTACATATATATACATATTATATATGAGCAGACATATATACTGCCTTGGTTATGGCGAAGAAGCATGAGCCTAAGCCTCCTGGTCAGTGGACGACCCTGGAGGAGCTTCTTCTGGTGTTCGCCGTTAAACGCCATGGCTCCAGAAACTGGGACGCCGTAGCCAAGGAGCTTCACAGCCGTGTCGCGATGCAGCGCAACTACGTGTCGCCCTCTGTTATCTCCCCCGAGACCTGCCGCGACGAGTTTCTCCGCCTCCGCCGTCGGTTTGCGGCGGAGACGACGGCAGATGAGGAGGAGGCTTTTCTCGATCCCATGCTCGACGAGTTCCGGCGGATTCGCATTGAGGAGCTCCACCGCGAGGTGAAACGGCATGATGTCTCGATCGTGTATCATCTCCTCGCCGACTTTTGGAGATCGGGTTTTACGGCTCCCGATCTGAGATTATTTCATCGGTTTTCAGGTTGTTAGAATCGAAGATTAAGAGATTGAAGGAGGAGAGAGCGCGTAGTTTGACGGAGGAGACAGATCTGCAAGGACGAGCTTTAGAGAAGGGAGAGACGAGACCATCACCGGCGACTATTACCGGGAAACTCTTTGCCGGCGATGAGCCCAACGGCCGATCCTCCGACGAGTCAGTTCCGACGGAGCATAACCCAGAGTTGGCGATGGCGTCGAGAGACGCCGAAAATGACGCCGTAAATGAACGCAAATCGGCTTCGAAGAATGAACCGGAAGGTAAAACCGGTACAATTCCGATTAATCCGCTAACCGAACCGGTTAGGGATCGGGGATCCTCACCTAGGTTTACTAGAAACACCGACAATGGTGAGGACAAGGGAGATGGAGGAGAGGCGGGTGCGGCGGTAACTCGGGCGGGTCCACTCGGCGAGTCAGGCGAGTTGAGTGAGTCAAAGAGGGATGCGGCGTCGTCGTCGAAACAAAGCAGCGATGTCCAAAGCTTGGCGATTCTGTCACGGAGGAAATGCCGCCGTGTCCCCGGTAGAGGTACGAGCAGCGACGAGGAGGAGGTGGATAAGGAAGAAATTTCTCCGGCGGCGACGAAGAAGATCTCAGCCGTGAAGCCGCCGGAGTCTATGGTGAATTTACTGAGAAGAATCAGGTCTCATCGGCTCGGCTCGGCTTTCGAACGTCGGCTTCGAATCCAGGTAATCTCCAAAAACCTTTCTGTGTTATTTTTAACGATTTAAAAATAATAATGAGAAAAATTGGAGAAAAATCAAGTACGTCAACGTGGCTTTACCGGGAAAAAGATGCCCAATCATCATCCGCCACGTTACTGAACAGTCAGCAAATTGTTGTGGTTTAAACCCTTGATTGATTTTTGGAACACCACAAACAAACATGCCAGTTGAAGGGATAAAAAAATTATTTCATATCTAAAAATGCAATAAGAAAAAAATATATATATATATCATACATACATAGTGTAGGAACAAATTTCAAACAGTACAAACGTGTGTTTATGTCTTTCAATTATTTTTTGCTGTTGGTAAGAATTATATTCTTTGGTTCTATATATTGAATTTTCCGTACGTTTAATATCTGGGAAGTGAAAGGGCATTTATATTTTATTATTATCATTCTAACAATTAAAAGAACGCCCGTGTAGAGATACCAAAAACAAAATTCAAATTCAAATACAGAAGAAAAGCATGATTTGGAACCTAGCAATACTCCAAATGACATTAATTTGAAATTTCTAACTTTTTTTAATCCTTTTAAGTTTATATTTTAGAAAGTTTATGTTTTTGGTGCACGTTGAAATTTTGATTTTTGTTGCTATTTCTTATAAATTCATACAGTTTTGACGATTTTTTTTAATCATATTGCGTTTTTTTCCCACTAGTTACCTTTTACGATAAGTAAAGGGCTTTTCTTGCTGGGCCTGGGCCCTCCATCTCTACGCACAAACAGTACAATACATACACACATATATGTATATACACTTTCTTTCTAGTACTAAATAAATTTCAACTAAACAAATTTTTAAAAAAAATAATTTAAAGTCCTTTTTTCACACTCCCTTCCTTCACGTCTTACATTTAAATTTAAAATTGTACAAAAAATGTACTTAATTTGTTTGCGGAGAAAACTAATAGCAATGGGTATATCCTATTTGAGATAGTAGGTTCCACTTCCTGTATTTTTCAGAATACAGAATCTACCCATAATTTCTTGCTTAGGTTTCCATTTTCTGAATTCAAATGCTTTTTTATCAGTTTCAATTCGGTTTCAAGATGTTTGGTTCCAGACAAAATGCAAATTAAATTGAGTTTGGTTCGCTTCGGATTTAGTATAGTTTGAAATTTATTGGTTTTGTTTGAGTTTTACAGTGTTTTTATTAGATTAATCATTGGTTCTAATTCTCTTGAATTTATATTCGTATGGACCAAATTAAATTAGGGTGTACATCGACACTTCCATCATATCTCAAATTAATTATATTGTTGTTACCAACTAGGAAGAGACAATAATTACCATGAAAAAGCTAAAACTTAATCCCAAACAGCCCAAGTAAATAAAGTTATCGACAAGTCAAAAGCATATACATGGCGTTTCATAACGACCCTTCAATTTTTTTTTTCGTGGACCCCTTCAACTTTCATATGATTCATACGCTTGAATTTACATGTATACATTGTCATACTACCGCAAATGGATCGTCATAAACAGCACAAAAGCGTGAATCTTTGACGTGTTTACTTTGGACTTTTCTTTTGCAGGAATCTGATAGATACCGGAGGGTCATAAAGCAACATATGGATCTCCGAACAGTCAAATCAAGGCTCGACAGAGGCGCGTACTCAGAAGATTCGAGAAAATTCTACAGAGATCTTCTCCTTCTCTTCAACAACACGATCGTTTTCTACCGAAGAACTTCGACTGAACACGCGGCCGCTGTAGAGCTCCGAGCTTTGGTGACGAAAGAAATGAAACTTAGGCTGAGATACCGATCTTTGAATCCGAAAACGAGCAAACCCTTTATCGCTCCTTGCGGGAAAAGCAGCTCGGTGAAGAAGAAACCGGAGAACAGAGAGGTTAATCGCGGTAATGGGTCTTTGGCAGCAGGACTGAAGGGTAAGAAAGAGATTTCATCGAATCACAGCAATCAAAGTAATAACAAAAAGGGTAATCATACAAACGAAAAGACGAAGAAGAATGAGTTTGGTAAGAACGAGATCAGTTCTAATGATGCGCCCATGATCAAGAGTGTCGACGTGAAGAAGAAGGAAGTAAGGAAGAAGGAAGGAGCGGAAAAGTTCCTGAGAAGAATGAAGCAAGATTCTTCAACAGAAAGCGATGAAGAGGAAGAAGAAGAAGAAGTGAAGGAGATGAATAAGAAGACGAAGAATAAGAAGAAAGCGACTACTTCTTGTACGGGTGGAAGAGTGAAGGAAGAGAATATGAAGGGAAAGAAAACGGCGGGAAAGGTGGCCGGAAAAAGAGGGAGGGAGAGTAAAGGGGAAGGAAGCGGCGGCGGAGGAAGAGGGAGGAAGAGGACAAGGAGATGAGATCTAATTTCTTGGAGGTAAATGCCATTGTGGCGGTGGTGATGTTTTTTTTTAAAAAAGTTTTTTTTTACCTGTGGTCGTTTTTTTAATCTGACATAGGTATTGTCTTTCTATACATAGGAAAAAAAAAGTTTTTTTTTTCAGTGGCGAGAGAGAAGCCAAGTTAATTTTCCTTGGGTGCTTTTAAGTATTCGGTTAGCGATTTTCACTTGACGAGAAATAAAAATCTTGGTTAGCCCAAAATTGGCAATATATACGTGTCAATTCATACATATATGCGTATATGTGCATGTGTCATGTATGTTTCTGTTTTTGTATTTTTTCTGATGATATTGTGAAAATACATTTATTTATTTTTTTATCTCGCTTAAATATTACAGGATAAAGATCACCTAGAAAAACCTTCGGTAATAATTGGGTTCACTATGTTTTTCCTATACTAATTTTGAGATTTTATATTTACAATTTACTTAAAATTAGAGTTGTTTTGTTTTGGGAAAATATTATCTCAACCATCTGGATTTTTTTTAAAGTTTAGGTAAGATATACCACGCAACTTATAATCCAACTTAAAAAAAAACCATTCACATAACGTTGTACCATTCATACATAGAATCTATATCTTTTAGATTAGGTCAAATATATGTAGATATTTAACAAAAAGAAAATATAGAAATAGGCACATTTCTGATGGAGTCACAATTTTGGTTAAAAATCTTGGGATAATTCCATAGAAATCACTCTAAATTAAAAATGGTATAAAACCACAAATCGAAATCCATAAAGCGTAAGGATGGAAAACAAATCACCTAAATCGATATTCAATTGTTTATTTATTTACGTGACATGATTTGTTTGTTTGGGCATGGGGTGGCCGAACGTTGCATGGATGACGAACAAGTAAGTACTTTTGGAGATTCTTGAAAGTGTTTGACGTCTCTTACAATAAATTTGTCTAGGAACCTCTCGATTATTTTGACATTGTTAAATAGCATATAAGTTGTTATGTCGCATATTTTAAAGCGTTGCGCGTTAATCAACAAAGTATCCAGATCAAGTATCGATCAGGTAGGTTTTGAGAGATATCCGTCTTTGTTTTCGTTTTAGAGAAATATTATCTCTGTATCTACCTCAAAATATACCTATCTAACGGATATTCATAACTAAAAGACGGATATCCATGAGTATCTGTATCTATATATAAAATATTAACCAATATAAAATTAAATCAAATAATCAATAAAAAACATACATATTTTAGTCCAAAAACACATTTTAAAGTTTAAAAATTCTTAAAATAGAATAATATATATAGAATCCTAGAAAAGTTTTTCAAAATACACAATAATTTGAGATTGAATTCACCAAAACTTGAAAATTTAATATATAATCCAGAAAAAAAGTAGAAATAACCTATTTTATTTTGGTAATTATATTAAGAATATAAAAGTAATTTTGTAATTTTAATATATATGGGATAACTGCGGGTATCTATTATTTTAATATATAAAACTTGAACCCGAATTTATATGACGGATATTCCATTTTTTAATATTCGTTTTTGTCTTCGTTAGGTATCGAGCATCGTTTTATTTCTCTGAACTATGGCGGGGTTTTTTTTTTTTGAAATTTTAGAATAATTTATATACCCACATATTAAAATTTTAAAACCTTTATTTATATAGCACCATATTGAGACGCCGATACGACGATGGGATTCGAGAGAAACCTTGCTTATTTTCATTATATCCAACCTTCGATATAGCTTGTCGAAAATGGTCCAATATTTATATCACAAGAATTTTTTTTATAGTCTAAAAGTTAACCGAACATTCAACTCAATTAAATCTTTAATCTCAAATAAATATCCTTTTCCAAAAAAAAATTCGAACTTGAATGAAAAAATAGTTTTATCCTATTTCTTATCCGTTGATCCTCCAACTTTGGATTATATCATAAAAATTCATAGAGAAGATTTACATTATTTTTATATCGGTTGCCACCTAAATGGTCGAAGTTATCCTAAAATTCTACGCCTATTTCGAATCCATCTTAAAAATTTGAATAATTTAGATTGGAGTTCATATAACAAAACACATCTATATAGATATTTCGAACAATTTTTAAAATTTTATTACGAAAACAAATTATGTTAAATTTGAATATATTAAAATTTTAAATTTAAATTCAAATAATAATTGATATATATATATATATATAACCATTATTTCATTTTTAAAATATATTAGTCTTTTTCCAAATTACAATTTAACTTCAAAATAAATCAGATAGTCCCACCCACCGGTGACTGAGCTATTGTTTCTATTAATTATGTTGGCATCATCATGGGCTGATTTTCTAATCCGATACCTAACCTCTCTTCCTTCATTCATGGCTTCCATATCGATCTAACCCAAGAAAAATCCTCCCCTTCCTCTCCAAAATGTCATCAAACATCGAAGTCGAATCCTGTAAAGTAGATTCCGAGGACGCTGTGAAGCTTCACGCGAGGATCTTCAAGCCCAGACGCGAAGAACACGAAGAACGACCGAACAGCAACCTAGCAATTGTTCTTGTCCATCCATTCTCGCTGTTGGGTGGTTGTCAGGCTCTGTTGAGAGGCATAGCTTCTGGTTTGGCCGCCAATGGCTACACAGCCGTCACTTTTGATACCAGAGGCGCCGGAAAATCCACCGGAAGAGCAACTCTTACTGGGTTCGCCGAAGTTAAGGATGTGATCGCTGTTTGTCGGTGGGTCTGCCAGAATCTCGGCGTTGATAAGATTGTTTTGGTTGGTTCTTCTGCAGGTACCGATTTGCTGCACTTTTGCATATGATTACGATAAGATTGTTTTGAATTTCTAGCTTTGATGTTTTTGATCCGTTGCTTTTAACCGATGTTTAAGCCCCGCATGTGCAGATTTCTTGTGGTTCATCGGATTTTACTGGGATTGAAACTAATTATTGGATTCTAGATTTGTTAATTCTGATATGTTAGGTCTTGTTTCTGATTCCGTTCTTGAGTGTACTTTCTTTGTTTTAGGCTGGAATGATGCTTTGATTCTTTTGATCCGTTGTCAATAAATAAAGTTTGAACTCCATATTCATGTTCGTGTAGTTCCTTTGTTTTTACTGCGTTTGAAACTAATTTTTAACTCTGTATTTGTTGATTCTGAGGATTCAGATGTCTGCTTTAATGTTGTCCAGGTTTCGGGTTCTTGTTCTAATTAGGGCCAAATTAGGGTTATTTCGCCAATTCTAATGAATAATGGAACTGAATCAGATTAGGTATATTGGTTTGCGTTAGCAATTCACTACAACTCAGTTGATCCTTTTAACCGTCTCATCTAAGATCCCGGCTTGATACTTATTGCCATGGATATGGTTATGGTTGGGTTCGAGTCTCTGTCTTGATTCATTTGTTTGGTGTTTCAAATAAAGCTGCTGTCTGCATTGTGGATGATGAGGATTTGCTTGTTTGCCATGGATGTTGTTTTGAAGTTTGTGGCTAGTGGTTTATGCAAGAAAACCACTTGGTGTTCATCATGTATCAGTTTCATATTAGGATCAATTTTTCCCCCACCATCATTGTGGTTTTTGTTTTGGTGGATAAAACTTTTTGTTATGTAGATTCAGTAGCTTTCTTGTTTTGTTTGATGCTATTCATAGTTTCGTTTTGGTGGATAGAGGGCGCTTTGTCATTTTCAAAATTTGGATCGAAATTAGCATTTTTTCGTTATGGTAGTGTTGATGATTGCTAAATTGGTGCTCTTGTGTCTAAATCCAAAATTTCCTCTTTGCACCGATGGGGAAAACCCATTGTTGTAATGATCACCAATATATAACTCATCATCATATGCTGATTTCTCTGGATCATCCATAGGATGTGAAATGAAATGAAAGGTTTCTTCCATCTGCTTTGAATGATGACAGGTGCCCCGATCGCTGGATCAGCAGTGGATCAGGTAGAACAAGTGGTGGGATACGTGAGTTTGGGGTACCCATTTGGCCTAATGGCCTCAGTCCTATTCGGGCGTCACCACAAATCCATTCTCCAATCCCTAAAACCGAAACTCTTTGTGATGGGAACTCGGGACGGGTTCACGAGCGTGAGCCAGCTCAAGAACAAGCTCAAATCCGCTTCAGGACGAACAGAAACTCATCTCATCGAAGGCGTTAGCCATTTCCAGATGGAAGGACCGCACTATGATTCAGACATGGTTAATCTCATCTGCAACTTCATATCATCCTTGTAGGGTTTCTCTTCTGTCCGAAACCAGGTCAGTCTCTGACATATAATATGTTGTAATGATGTACCCATTAACAAAAAGCCAAGTTCGTGGTTTGCAGGAACTGAAATTCAGAAGAGACTATTAAGTTAACATAACCTATTGATTGAAGAGCCATGAGAAGATACAGATGACAGTACAGTCTTACACCATCAAAGACTGAAGGATCATATTACAAAACTACAAACCCTAATTTAATACCACATAACAACAAAGACAGCTATGGAACAAAAAATATCGAAACCCATTCCTGTCGGCGCCTTCCACCATCTCATCGTATTGTCCCTTCGTCCAGTGGTTGCCCATGCAAGAAAGCACGGCCCACGTCATCTGGGTTCAAGCCAAAAAAACATTATGCAAAGATGCATTATATGAACAAAATCATTACACGTTTAATTATCTCATAATTATGTTACAAGTGGTTTTCGATTTACAGAACCAAAGCCAACCCTACATTGCTTGGATGAGTTTTACAAATGGTACATCTTTAAATATCGCCAAAAAACTACAACTGACCACGGGAACATTGAGCTAAGAAAAGGGGCCTATATCGACTGTCAATTATTACCGCTTTCTCCGTCTGATATTTCTTCGAGCTTTGCAATGGCGTCGATGAGGGCTTGTTCATGATCCTGCATTATTCAAGGAGATCAATCGGCTTCTGCTGTAATGAAAACCTGGGCGAATATAGAAACAGATTCAAGAAAATAAGTTCTTACTCTCAACACCCTCTTTGCTTTCTCTACTTCGATGGGATCAGGATTACTCGACCCGAAAACTTTTTCTACCTGTTGAGGTTCATCATAATGATCAGATTATTAACTCGTTAATCTTCCATGTTATCATAACTAGAGTTGTTGGGATGAAGCCTTACCTCTTTTATTAACGTATCGGTGTGGAGTATTTCGATGTCGCCTAAAGCTTTCTTCCCGATGCCATTCTGTGCCTTGGGCTGTGTCTTCATGGTTCCCCTACCTCTTCCTGCATTAGTTAATGGACCACTACGAGGCATTGTCTTTTTAACCCCTCGGCCTTGACCAGGACGACCACCTTTCCGTGGAATTCCTGGTTCTTCCTCCTCCCATCTGATATCTTCCGGAGATATCTATTGTATATAACAAAAAAACTTAGGGATGCTACCAAACGTAGCTTGGAGAAAGGCATAGAAGAAAACACAAGCATAACTTATTATGCATAAGCATAACTATCTAATCTTCTTGATTATAAGCATTGAAAAGTGACAAAAGCACCCATCTGCAAGTACATTCAACCCACAGACAACACATATAGTCAGTTTTATTTCAGATTTGGTATTCGTCCCACATCTGTCTTAGCGTTATCATAGTCTATTTCTAACTCTGCCAAGAATTTCTGTCATCCACTCCATCTAATAAACACACACAATTCATGAAACGATGGAAGAAGAAGACTTAAATTTAATGTCCCCAATATGAACAATAAAATAAAATGAGGTAGCTTGCAGCATCACCTTTTCTACAACACCGGAAAGGAATATAAACCACAAACCGAAATCATTACCTCTTTCAGATTTACCCATTCCCAAGTTTCGTTCGCTGTATTAATATCGTACACCAGAGCATGCCGTCCCTTGACAACATTGAAAACATGAACAATATCAGAGAATGATCCCTTACCAGCTAAAATACCAATTCAGCACCACAAAAAAAATACCTCAACGGGGTTGTAATCGGTTATAACAGCCTCATAGAAATGGTTGTCTTCAGGCCACCTCGTCCAAACCTTCCGTCCGATCAATGGATCATATGATCCTGATTCAGCAGGTTCATTTGTTAAAGCAACAGTTAGGTTACCAGCTTGGGGTCTTCCAGCAACACCTGGGGCAGGGTATTGCATTGACTTCATGTCGAGCAGACAGTGAAAATTTTAACCCATCAGTGAATCAGAATATAGGAAAAAACTAAAGCTGAGACTGACAACAGAATTACACAGTATCATATGACTTACTGCTTTCGGCTTCTTGGTCTTTGGACCTGGTGGCAGGCCTCCCCTTCTAAGAGCAGATGATGATGGCTGCATTGAAGGGTGCAAAGCAGGAGATGGTGGGCCCATGGACAACGAAGCCATTGATTGAGATGTTTTTTGCTTCTTACGTGATCCCGAAACAGTTGGACTGGGAGTAGGATCATGAACAAGTTGGGGAACACTAGACTGAAGGCCATTTGACTTTCTCCATTCCCTGACAGATTAATCGACCGCGTTGACTAGAAGTAGGCAGAATTAATCACACTCATATTTAGACATTTCTTGGAAGCTCCTTGGCTAGATAAGCAATTGCATATAGACATACCTTATTCGCCTGATCATGTCATCAGCATTAACCCTTGATAACAGTTCCCTGTGTTCCTCATCTGATACCCGAAGTTCCTTTCTAAGTTCAGTGATCAAACTTTCTTTCTCCTGCATATTGTTCCGTAAAGAGAACAAGAAATAAAAGAAAGAAAGCTAAATTATCTGGCTGGTGAAAGCACATAAACATGGATTGATGAATATTAAAGCAAATAAGTACCCAGGTGATTGCATCAGACTGAGCTTTAAAGGCACGGAGTATCGAACAATAAGCTTCTTGCTCGATTAGATGAATCTGAGTTTCCATGTCATTTTGCATCCTTGATTGAGGAGCAGAATTGAGAACAGAGGGCCTGCCATTGCCAGCAGGTCGGCCCCCTCTTTGAAATCTACTTTGATGTGAAGGAGGTAAGTCATCATCTGTACCTAAAATTTACTCAGCGAAAAGAATATTAAATCATGCAGATAGACCGGAACTAGATAAGAAAGAATAAGCCGAAACGAAGAACCTAAGAAAACAATAATTCAGTCAAATAGCTTTTCCTAATGTAATCCTTAACTGGGAATACATCAAACAAAACCGACACATTAGTTTTTTCATAGAGCTCTATAAAGAACAACACCGTTAACTTGTCTACTATTGCAAACAAAAAAGATTGAGCACAAACCAGAAGCAAGCATCAACAAGAAAAGTGAGATCGAACATATGACTCACCACTACTGTCCGAAGGCCGGTAATCCATGTCTATTTTCCAGTCGATTCTTCAATTGAAACCTAAGAAAGCAAAAACTCCGAAAAGAGTCCCACCTGATAACCCAAGAACACGAACTGCAAAACCAAGAAAACAAATTTTAACCAATCAAAATATCAACAGTTAAATAGTCATTGCTCCTTTGATAGAGAAGATACCAAAAAAAATCATAAATCACAAAAGAAAAGTGAACAAAATTTTTCAGTCGAAATACAGAAATCCAGAAAACCTAAGTGAAAGAAAAGTATAACTGATCTTTCAAATATTCAACTAACTAAATTAGACAATCCAAAGCCTAGAAATCAGAGAAGTAGGAAGGATAAGTTCTTGGATACAAACCCACTAGCTAAATTTGTTTCATATTGCAAATAAAGCTCTCTGAACTACATAGTTCACTTGGAATCAAGAGTAAACTCCACATAACATCGACCCGTTCCTAGCAGGGAATCATAATAATAATTAATCAGAACATTTTGCCAATTTACAAACTCCAGTTAGAGAAATTACACTCTCCGAAACCCTAACAGACCATGGAAACTAGCACACAACGATATTCGAGATGAACAAATACTTAAAATTAAGCTGAAGAACACAAAAAACGACTTAATTCAAGGGCACAAAACGTTTGAACTAACCTCTCGGCGCAATCAAAACCCAATATCTTCTTCGCAGCTGTCCTTCGGATCGAGTCCGGAAATGCTGATCAATCAAAGATTCCCACGGAAAACATCAGCCCCGTGAGATCCAAAACTCCATAAACCTAAACAGGAAGCGTGACCAAGGCGATTCTTGTACGAAACCTCGACAAAGCGAATTCAGCAGTGCCAGATCTCTCAACAGATGAAATACGCCGATAATCCGTCGAAATCGAAGTAGAAACACAGCGAAATTCAAGATTTTCTGACGAACAACGAAGGATTTTCCGAGGAAAACCTACGAGCGGACGTGAAACAACATTATTGTGCCCTAAAATTTTCCAGTTGATTGTTTGGTTTGAGTTACGGAACGACAGCATGGTCTGCCGTTTCGAAAAGCTCTGAGACACCGGTTGCTTTCTAAAACTCGGTCCGGTATATATATTCGGCGCGGTTTTCATGTCTTATTTTATGCATATCTTATTTTGTGGTAATGGAATTTTATGCATATCTCGGAAGACAATTTCGAGACAATTTAAAAAGGAAAAAAACTCTAAAAGTTCTTAAAAATATTAATTTTTCTAAATATCTTTTTTAATATAATTTTTTCTAAACCAATTCATAATCAATTTAGATTTTAAATATTTGATAGAAAAACTACCACTATTAGATTATTTTCTCTATAACAAAATATAGTTGTTATTATAATAAAATATAATGGTGTGATATTGCATGTTTTTTATAATTTCAAAAAAATTTGTGTTTTCTCTATTTCGAAATTATTGTAAAAGATTTTAAAATCTGGGCCTAAAATTATATAACTAAAGTCGTTATATATATATTTGTGTGTGTATTTTTACGTGATTCAGACTATGTCATGATTTGACAGTTCACAGTAGCAATACTGCTTACTTAGGCTACCCCTCTTCTTGTAATTCGTTATCTTATCTTTTTATTTTTTTAGAGAAAAAGTTCTAAATTTTTTTAAAAGAGGTGTCTATTAATTCCTAAACTTGTAGATGTATCTATTAATTCTCAAACTTGCAAAATTGAACACGTTAAATACTGAACTTATTAAACGGTTCCATAATTATCCATAGCGTTATTTGGTCAAAAAAACGAATTGACCGATCCGACGTGACACGTGACGTGGCGAGCCAACTCAAAAAATTACCGTCATGTCAGTGCCACGTCGGATTGGTCAACTCGTTTTTTTGACCAAATAACGTTATGGACGATTGTGAAACCGTTTAACAAGTTGAGGATTTAACGTATTTAATTTTGCAAGTTTGAGAATTAATAGGCACCTCTACGAATTTTGGAATTAATATTACTCCAAATTACAAGTTCAGAAATTTTTAGGATTTTTTTCCATTTAAAAACTTTAAATTGTTACAATTGTAGAAAATTATAATTTAAATTTATCATAAAATACTAAACTATATTATTTATATAAAAAATTAAACTATTATATTTATATAAAAAAATTTATATTATAAACTCGTAAAAAAGTCATTTATTTATTTTTTAAAAACATATTTTTAACAATAGTAATTATTTAAACAAGTAATAATTTTTCGATGATTTGTTTTGTTAAAAAATATTGATTTTTTATAATAAGTGTAAAAGCGTAAAGTTTTTTTTATATGTTTATGATAATTTTTTTTATATTTTATGAATAATTATGTAATGTAAAAATATGAAAAATAATATAAAATTTAAATTCGCTAAATACTAGGTATTGGCTTGAAAATTTGTGATTAAAAATTCAAATATGATATTAATTCTCATTCTTTGACATTTTTTGAAATATTGTGTGTTCATGATGACCCCATGGTCCATGGAGAACAAATGTGGTTGCAAACAACCGTAATCTCTTAAACCGACCTACTCAAAGTTAACCAAAATCGATAAGTAAACCGGTATTAACCGGGCATTAAATTTACAACGTCCCATAGAAAAATGTGACCTAAGGAAAAATTTGGAGAAATGTTGCACTTGTCTTCGTCGTCTCTCTATCTCCGACCGCTTCACCTCCTCTCCATTTCTTCCATCCGTACTGCGAAATTCCCGTTTTGTCCCTCTCTCCGACGTGAATTTCGATTTAGCCCTTCCTTTCGGTCTTCTTCCTCCTCCGTCGGGTGCTCGGGAGGTTCTCCTCCGATGGAGGCTGTGTCGTCGGTTTCATCGTCTTCGTCTCCGGCCGATTCCCTGGCGAGAGATCTGCAGAATCAGAGCTTGGGATCCGTCGATGATGATAGAAGTAAGGGTGGCGATGTCGCGAGGCAGGTCAAACTGAAGCTCGAGGATCTGAACTGGGACCACTCGTTCGTCAGGGAATTGCCTGGTGATCCGAGAAGTGACGTCATCTCTCGTGATGTGAGAATTTTGGCCTTTGTTTTTTGGATTATGATAGTGTATCATGTTTGCTTGCCGAGAAAATTGGATGAAACTGGATTGAGATTCATTAATTGTCGGTGAATACGTGTATACATATATATCTCCAAGGATATGTAAGTTCATGGGCTTGTTTTTGTGCATAGTATACGTATACATATGTGAATAACTTTGTCAGGTTGCTTGTTGACATCCACTTATGTATATACCCTTTTATGTAGATATATTCAGGACTTTCTTTCCATATTTAGTCAGATTCCTCTGAAATGACTGCCAAAACTAGTATATATTAACGATTTGAATTTGTTGTAATGGAATACTGTGGAGAGTTTGGTTTACTAATTGTTTATGGCATGAATTGCTTGTTGAATGGATCATATGGGTTTTGAAGGTTTTTACTTTCCGGAATTCATTGTGTTGCAGTTCATCTGTTGCTAACTAAGACGAGTAATTGTCAATAGTGGTAAAGCTCAGGAGAGCAATTTCTTATTTTGTTCTCCGAATACAGTATATACCTTTTGGTTTTGACAGGTTGTGGTTGTACAAAAATTTGGCTTTGGCTTTTCCAATCTTTTTTTTTATTTTTTATTATATGCTATGTCTGAATCGGTATGTAGGTATTGTTTGGAGAATATGGAGCTTGACTATGTGGAACTTGATATTTTTCTGTGGTGGTCTGCAGGTGTTGCATGCTTGCTACACAAAAGTTTCCCCATCAGTTGCAGTAGATAATCCTCAGCTTGTAGCATGGTCTGGATCTGTTGCGGAGTTGTTTGATTTGGACCCTAAAGAGTGAGCATGCTCTACCTGTTGTGCGCTATGATCTATGGTCATGATTATTTTAGTGTCTTCTCAAGCAAGGGAACACGCTAAAGACGAATTTCATTTATCGTTGATGCCATTCATTCATTTGGACAATTTCAGATCAGAATCATCAAGAATATTTTCTCCCTTTTACTTTTCCCTCTTATCTTAAAAATTAGTCTCCTTGCATATAGAAGGCTGGTAGTGGTTGTGTTTTCAGCAGTTAGTTTAGCCTTTTAGGACATCTGAGTTACAGTGTCATTGACATGTATGTGGTGTTTTCGCACTTTGAGTGGACTGGGTTTTCCCCATCTCGTTCCTCTTTCTTCTTATGTCAGATGTTCACGTCTTGATGATATTTGGTTTCCTGATTTTCAGATTCGAAAGACCAGATGTTCCTCATATGTTTTCTGGTGCCAAACTATTGCCTGGAGCGTAAGTGTCCTTGTCCAAATATGATTCAAGTTCAAATTTACTCTTTGCAAAGATTTTTGTCCGGCTTTTAGTGATATTCTTTTCTACAGGGTGCCTTATGCGCAATGCTATGGAGGACACCAATTTGGCATGTGGGCTGGACAACTTGGTGATGGTCGAGCCATAACTCTTGGAGAAGTTTTGAACTCCAAGGGTGAAAGGTGGGAGCTGCAGCTTAAAGGTGCTGGCAGGACACCATATAGCCGGTTTGCTGATGGCCTTGCAGTGCTCCGTAGTAGCATCAGGGAATTCCTTTGCAGTGAAGCAATGCATTGTCTGGGAATCCCTACCACACGTGCCCTTTGTCTTGCGACAACAGGACAAGAGGTCACTCGAGACATGTTTTATGAGTATGTCCAGAATCTCCCTGTTTTATTACAGTCGTGACTTACAACATACTGTTACCTTTGTTTTGCTTTTGCAAACACGTGTTTATGGAATGTATAGTCTAATTTGTTTGTTGTTATATTCCTTCTATGTTATAAAAATCCACGTGTTCTCCCAGCTTTCGCAGAGAAACTGATTAATTCTGTTCATTCTACTTTTTTTCTCACTGTTCGCTTGTACAATATGTGGGAAATTGTGGGTTAGTAGTCCCATTCGTTATCGAATTGCATTACATTTAAAAATATTGCAATCAATGTGTAATGTTTCAGTTCGGAGTGGATGACTAATCCTACTGTTTGTATCATTTTGCAGTGGCAATCCAAAAGAGGAACCAGGGGCAATTGTTTGCAGAGTTTCTCAGTCTTTTCTTCGTTTTGGCTCCTACCAAATACATGCTTCTAGAGGGAAAGAGGATATTGAAATTGTTCGGAAGTTGGCAGACTATGCCATTAGACATCATTTTCCGCATATTGAAAACATGAATAGAAGTGAGAGCTTATCCTTCCAGACAGGTGATAAAGATGATTCTGTCGTGGACTTGACATCGAACAAGTATGCAGGTAATTTCATATTGAAGAACTTCCATAAATCAAGTTCCATCGAACATATCTAGATGCGAGATAATATATTGTTTCTTTTTGTCATCCAATATTTTGGAGCGCCTGAAACTTACCGTATTCAGAGACCAATATTTTATTCTCGAATCAGACTTTGGCATTTATATCATTTCATTATTCACATATGCTATTCAGTTTTGCAGAAAAACATAATCCTTGGGATGGCTCTACTAACTCTTTCAGTTTTAAATTTGTCAGCATGGATTGTCGAGGTTGCTGAACGTACCGCTTCCTTAGTTGCAAGATGGCAAGGCATTGGTTTCACTCACGGTGTGCTCAACACTGACAATATGAGCGTTTTGGGTCTGACCATAGATTATGGCCCATTTGGATTCCTAGATGCTTTTGATCCGAGTTACACCCCGAATACAACCGACCTCCCTGGTCGGAGATACTGTTTTGCAAATCAGCCGGACATTGGCTTGTGGAATATTGCACAGTTTGCTAAAACTCTAGCGGTAGCTCAACTGATAAATGAGAAGGAGGCAAATTACGCAATGGAGAGGTAAGTTTGTTTTATATGGGTATACTCAAATTCCATTTCTTGTGAAGGAAATGGAAATTTGACATCATAGTCGCGGGCATGCTATAGGTACGGGGACAAATTCATGGATGAATATCAAGCCATAATGACAAAGAAGCTTGGTCTTGCCAAGTATAACAAGGAACTCATCGGTAGTCTTCTTAACAATATGGCGGTTGATAAGGTTGATTATACAAATTTCTTCCGGCTTCTTTCGAATTTAAAAGCCAACCCGAACACTCCCGGGGATGAGCTGTTGAAACCCTTGAAAGCTGCGCTCTTGGATATTGGAAAGGAGCGGAAAGAGGCATGGAGCAAATGGGTGCAAAGCTACATACAGGAGGTAATGTCTCTTGTATCTTTTGCTTTCTCGCTTTCAAGAAATTCGGTCTTTGGTTCAGTTTCTCTAAAGCATTTTCTCGTGTCATTGCCTGGAACATAACTTTCCGTTGTGGTTTAACCTTCCATGAATTTCTTGGTAAATGCAGCCCAGATGAAGCAATACCTAATTTCGTGATTTTGTAGAAATAATTTCCCAAGTTTAATCAAAGACTTGTAGTCTTGGTTTGACAGAAATTATTACTGGCTTTAGCCTGGTCTAGTTCCTCTAACTACTATCTTGGTAATGTTGGTCCGAAAGATTTTCGTGATCAAGATCTTAAACGAAAAACCAGATCCCTAACCAAAACCAATATTACTCGATTGAAATTGCAGCTTGCTGGTAGTGAGATCTCAGATGAAGAAAGAAAAGCAAGAATGGATTCAGTTAATCCAAGGTATATCCTCAGGAACTATTTGTGCCAAAGCGCCATAGACGCGGCCGAACAAGGAGACTTCTCTGAGGTACAGAACTTGCTCAAACTAATGCAACGACCATACGATGAGCAGCCCGGGATGGAGAAATATGCACGTTTGCCCCCCGCGTGGGCGTACAGACCGGGTGTGTGCATGCTCTCTTGCTCCTCCTAAATCTCGAATTCTCGATTTGCCGCATAGAAAGAAAAAAGAGAAGAAAGAAAGAAAGAAAACAATGCTCAAGTTAATGGTATATTAGTTGGTTGTATGTAAAGAGACATATATATAAGTTTGTGTTTTTTTTTTCTACATAAAAAAACGTGTTTCTTTCATATAAGATGATTCCTTTTTTTTTTAATCCATGGGAACCCTCTGAAAATTTATTGAATATTAAAAACTGATGTGGTTGATTGGATCTTCGCATTTCTTTCCTTTTGAAACCTTTTTTTCTTGGTAACCGGGTTTTGTGGGACGAGGTTCAGACTAATTCTGGGGACGGAAGTTAGTCATGTGATTTGAATTATGCGTTTTCTTCCCAAATTGAGATTCGAATTTGGAGCGGAACAGATGTTTTGCATCCCGTTTCACCGGTTGAACTATCCAAATTAGGTTTTTTTTGAAACTTTTGCTTGACTATTCCATCATCCATGACAATAAGTCTTTGAATTTCTTTTTTTCAAGAGTAAATTATTTTACCTATAAAAGATTTTGATGTTTTGTTTGGACGGTTTTGGTTACTGGAGCTTTGTTGATTAGGAATCAAGAATCTACAATGGCTTTTTGTCCTGATGGTTTTTAGAACCGTACACGTACACGTAGCAACTAGGACTATATATTCCGGTTTGAATTGAATAATGCATCGATTTTAAAATCGGGTTTAATTTTATTTAAATAGAATTAACTTGATCTAAACTAAATATAAAAATAATAATAAAAACACTAATTTTGATAAAATAATTATTTTTTAAAGTAATTAATATAAATAAATCTAAATTTGATATAAAAAAAAATTAATAATCATTATCTTAAAATAAAGTGTTAGAGAAGAAGACCTAATGAAAGGTGAACAGCACGGACTGTTCAATTGAAGTACCTTAAAAAAAACAGAAGAAAATCTTGTGGGTAAGAAACGTCCGACGGCTTCTTGTCCCGGGTCCGGAGAGGTGTATTGGGCCCAACGAGTGACATGAGATCACTGTACAATGGGATGGCCCAAGTGACCGCTGTTGTGTTGATAACCAAAACAGTGCCGAGCATGATCTTGTACAACCTCCTTCCAAAGTATGTCGGAAATCGGATTTTGAAATCCTCTATAATCGGGAAAATTTTCAACGCATATTTGAATATCGGGTAAGCAAGCGTTGTATATATAGCAATCATTCCGCTCATCCATTCGAGATTATACTTTTGAAATTTTGTTTGTATAGAATGTACCATTTTTTTTTTTGGAGAGATTGTTAAAACTATACTTTATTTTTTTCCTCACTTATGCAAACTATAATTTTAGTGGTAAATTTACAAAATGTGCATGAAGAATGTGGTAATTGTCTCACGCAAAAGGTGTTACCAAGCACGTTGAAATGTGGAAACAAGAACATTGCTGGCTTATGCATAATGTCCCATCCGGTACTTTGTTATGCAATAGGACGGTTGAAGATTCAAATTTCAATCATATATTATGATCTTGAAACCATATACTAAATTGATGAAGTTATTGATTCTTGGTCTACAGTTTTGAGCTCAGGGACATTGCTGAGACAAATAAATCTGCTAATCTGGTTTCTTATAAACCTCTTCCTGTGGTTTCTAAACTGTCACATGAAATCACAGGGGGGTATTTCCCGAGTAACTACTATATATTTCTTTTTCTGCTTTACCTCCGTATCAGATTTTGATTTCTCGGACCATAAGATGTCGGGTTTGGATTAATTCACCAGCATGTGCTCGAATGCTCCAGCTTGCATCCGGGATTGTCTACCGACACTGATGCTGTGGAGAAGCTGCTGAAGCCATGAGGTTGCTACTTGGTCGTCCTGTCAAAAGTAAATGCATAGTTACACAATAAGACCATAGGGATCAAAAGGCGAAATTTCTGATCTATGAAAGATGGGTCCTGTATCAGGGTATCAGGGTTCAGTGTGGAGATCGAAATCATAAAATGGCAGCCGTCGTGTTCTCGGGTTAATTCTGGTAGTTTATTATTAGGATTGATAAGGGAGATAATGGGATATGGTACTTACAAAGAGGCAGGAGCTAAAGGAAGCATCCCTGAGAAGATCTGGGAGGCAACTTCCAAGTGCTTCACATGCCCTGAATGGCATCAATGGCTATAGGCATTAGGATAAGAACACAATTCTTGTAAAACAAGTGACAAGAGAACGGAGATTTGACCTTGGATTGTCAGTCAACCGAAGATAACAGCGGATTATGTGTTTCAATAGCCTCGGGGAGGGTTGCTCGGCGAGTGAGGCAACCATACTTGCCAAAACCCGACCAAGAGCGAAGAATCTCTCCGCTGTGGTGCACATATAATCAAGTCCAACATCGTCTAACAGTATCTTTTGGACAATAAACGTAGCAACCTGACATTAAACGAAACAGTTGTTCGGACAATCAAAAAGGTATTATGCAATTTCTAATATCATTGTATAACACTTCATACTTACAGTCCTTGAAAGCTCGCTGCCCATTTCCATTGTCCGAAGGCAAAGAGGAATAATTTCAGTTGAAAGAAGGAACCTGATAACTTCGGTATCATCAACCTGCTAAACCAGTAAATGTTATTACTAATAATCTTGAGAAATTCAGCAATTCCACGATGTCTTGATCTAGGTAAAACCACTAGAATTACAAGGAACGCTCGGACAAAAAGGAATACTACAACAGTGTTTCTAATGAGGAATGCTACTGATCTCTGTTTCCTAAATGAAGAAGATTCACTTCGAAACATGGATGGAATATAACAAACTAAAAAACGAGTTTGTGGCAATTAAATGTATTTATCCTGCCTTGTGACATAAACAAGTATATTTAAAAATGTAATCGCTGAACAGAAACATAAAAACACTACCGACCTTGACAAGTGCACCGATGACCCCCAAGCTAGTAAGTCGTAAGTACTCAAAGGGTCTCGACTTGCTCGTTGTGTTCAAGAAAGGATACAGATACAGAGGTATGTGAGCTGTAGTTCAAAAGGTCACTAAATTAAGCTTGAGAGCATATGCAGGAAAGGAAGCAATGATATGCTCAAGTCCAAAAGGAGAGAAAGCAAATCGATCTTGGAATAATTTTAGCACGTTAAGTCATCACTTATCTAAATCTGGACTACTATATCGCCGACAAAGCAGAGATAAAACTTCTGGAAGAATTTAACAACAAAAAATCAGAAAGAATAAAGCTCGTGAAGATTCAGCAACTTTCTACACACGCGGGACAAAGAAAAACCTAATCATCTTGTAATAATTGGCTGGCAGAGGATCTACCCTTAAGGAACAACATTCTTGTTTCCACATGAGAAGCAACACACTGCAATAAAAAAGAGGGATGAAACCCGAAAGAAGCATTAGCATCTTCTAAAAGTTATTAATGCATAAGCAAATAAAAGGTGCCTAACAGATAAAGCTCACACGAACCAAAAAATCATGAAACATACTAACAAGCTTTCACTCACCTGAAGAAGTGCAAGTGCATTACAGACCCTGTTCGATTGAGCAGGATTTAAAGTTGGAGGTGAGAGAACAGGGTAGACTGCTACAATCTCCTGAAAAGAAGAAAGAGAACAAAGTACTAAATCTGAATGACTACAGTGTACATTAAATCCTCAAGATTAAACGACAAGAATAAATCAATACAATAGAGAAGTCTTTTAAGTACTGATTCCCTTCTTATGAAGAAGGCAGAAAGGAGTGCCAAAGTTAAGCAAACAAGCACAAAGAGAATACCTGTAAAAGGGCAGCAATGGTACCAAAAGAATTCCACAAAAGTGGAGCCAAATCTTGGAAGATTTCCCTCTTCTGAGAAATGAATATGAAAAACACTGTAAGCAAAAGTACAAGAAACCGACTCTTGCATACTAGATTTGTCAAGAAAACCAGATATGCCAAACGATTCTCTCACAAATATCATATCAAGTCTGATATCACTGATTGTTGAGCTGAACAGACATCAAAATAAAGAATAAGAAATATCATCATTAGTGTTTTAAATTGTCTAGTAGTACTCCAAGAGAAGTGGGAAATCCTCAACTTATCATCCATGAAACCAAATAATAATGACGGCACCAGGGTGTTCTGAAAGAACAATATCGCATATCCCAAATGCAACAATATCCCTAGTTTTCTCACAAGTACAATTGGAAGTAGCAAATGCATATTTAAAGCATAAACATACTTAAAATTGCCTAGGTTGCATCATTCACAACCATGCAGAGGCCACCAACTCTGAATCTCAAAAAACCGTCAACAGCGTGAAAAAAGAAAACGTTTTGTTCGATGCCTGAACCTCCCACAGTTTAGCAAACCCATGTAACAATTTGTTCCAGAATCAAGAACTTGATACTGAAAAATGAGTACTCAGTAACCTTGATGATGACTTTTTTATTGGTAAGACGATCCACTACAAGACATCATATTAGAAATCCTGTAAATGCAATCTCTGCATATCAATAAGATACAAGTTGCTTCGTATAACTGTGACTTACTTGTACAAGTTGAACAAAAGGGATACAATGCAGAATTTTCAAAAAAAATTCCACATCCATTCTTCCAATAGAACCTTACACAGCCATTACTCTCCGCCAAATTCACTAAACACCCTACAACGCTAAAAGTTTCCATGAAAAAACAAAACACATCAAACGAACCTAATCTCGACCTTTCCTCTCATATCTTCCAATCAAGTCCTAAACTTCAAAAGTTTTACTCAAAAATATTCGGGAAATGCCTAAGGCATTCAGTATTTCCTCGAAGAAATCTCAAGAAATCAAATTCGAAACAACCAAAATCCCAACACAAGCGAACAAATTCAATATAAACATCAAACATCCACGAAATTTCGCCGAATTCACCTTCGACAATTCGAGGAGAGCATTCTCCCTGAGTTCAGGACTACTGAGATCGAGCACCAATTGCTCCGCCGACGCCATCTTCCGATTCTCATCCTCTCTCTCCCTCTCTCTCTCTCTTGTTCCGATCTTTAGATAATGAAGCACCGGCGAGCCCAGCACCACCGGCCGACGAACCAGCTCCGCTAACAGCGCCGCCGCCAAAAGCAAGCTTCAAAGAGAACGGTGGAGGAAGATTAGCCATAGCCTTCACCTTCCGATCTTCTGAGATTCCTCAGAAAATTTCGCTTTTTTCCCGCTGATTTCGTCGGAGAGTCTCTGTCGCGATGATGACGATGTGTGTTTTGTTTGCAGTATCACTGTGTGCGATGAAGGTTTGGTATTTATATGTCTTGAACGTCGCTGTTGATAGTATCCATCACGTGCTTCGCACGCGCCATACATTTCCGTTACGGCGCGTTGAAAAGGGTAAATATCGGGACAAAAACGGTAAAACGCTTGGCTTCCTTATCCTTCTATTCAAATTCATAATTAATCAAAATACATAAATTCTAATTTCAGTAATAAACAACTAAAATCTTGTAATGAATTATTGTGGAAAGATTATCTTCTATATCTATTATTTATTGTATTTTTTTATCACTTTTTAACTTTATTTTTTTATTTATCGATTTAGGTTTTTGGAATTTTTTAAAAACCTTGTTTTTAAAAATTTTGTAAACTAATTTTCTAAAATTTTAGAAAGAGTGAAAAATTAATTATTTGATTTTTAGATTTTATAATTTAAAAACCCTAAACTTTCATAGACCAAAATTTAATTTTAATTCTTATTTATAACACATATTTGGTCATTTTAAAAGATGCCCATAGATTCCTAGATGAGTTAAGTCTTTATGGAGATATAAAACGGTAGTGAATATGATGCCGGTACAATAGGGTATAATTTTATACACCATCACATATACGTTGGGGTGTAAAATGGGCGGGTCGGACCGGGTTCAATTCGAATATACAATTTTTCAGATCAGACCGGTCTGTCCATTTATTTTTCGGGTCTAAAATCGATGGCCCGGAGCCCGGTCCTATAGGGTTTCGGGCGGATTCGGGCCGGACTTCGGACTTTTTATTAAATAAAATATTTTTTTGCGATAATAATAATAATAATAATAATAATAATATTATTATTATGAAACATTCAACAAAAATATTTTTAAAACCGATAACAACAAAGTCATTTAGTTCACAAATAAAAATAAAATTGAAAAAATTATCCAATTGTTCAATTCTTCAACACCACATTCTGCAATCACAAACTTTTAAAAGTGATAAAAAAAATAACAAACATAATATAAAAAGAAATTCTATGATGTAATTAATTTAAAACCTATAGAAAAAAAAATCAATATGTTTATATACAAACAAAGGTTTAAAAATGTATATATTTGAAAACTTCTACCCTTTCAAAAATATAAACTTATATATATATGATGTAATATGGTTAAGAAATTCAAAACTTCCATCACTTTAAAAAGTTTAATTAGAACCAAGATATAAAAGTTTATCACTTAGTTCAAATATATATATATATATATATATATATATATATATATATTTAGACACATATATTTATAAGTATAGAAAGGTAAAATTTTGGTTTAGAAAAGAGGGTTAGAAAAAACAAAAAAAAACGGGCCTCAAGCCCAGTCCGAAATCTGACTGGTCCGGCTCGACCGGCCCGCAGCCCATTTGGCCCGAGGTCCGAAAGCCCGAAGTTCAATGAGCCTACATTTTCTAAACCTATGTCCTTACAATTTTCGGGCGGGCTCGGACCGAAATTCGGGTTCTGGGCTTAATTGACATCCCTGATATACGTATCAATAAGTTAACTCATGAATATTGTGCGACTAATCATTTTCCGTGCAATATTTATATCAATCATGACAAATTTTATTTTATACTGGTTTGAATTCTTATTTAATATGAACTATTTCATTAATGTTTTTTTAATAGCATTTTTCTTTTTTTTCTTTATATAATTATATGCACATATACATCAACATAATCTTCTCAACAAAAAAAGAATAAAATGGCAGTTTACCTTTTATTTTATTTGTTAATAAAATACCTTTGAAAGTTTTACTTAATCTTAACCTAAATCGATGTGTTACGTTTGAAATGACTTCCTTGCCCTTGAAACCATCTGTTTCTATCGGAAGCTTTCCCATAGATTTTCAGACGAGCCCTTGAAAGCATCTGTTTCTATTGGAGGCTTCACACAACAATCAATATGTAGTCTTGGCATTCCATCAAAAGCAAAAAAGCAGATTAGTATAAGACTACAAGGAGATGAAAAAAAATGTAGCTTAGAAAGACCAAAAAGCCCCCGCGATTAGGACAAAATAGAGCTCTCATAATTACAAAATTTTGGTTAAAAAAACGAAATTCACAGTAGTGAAAGAAAGCAATTTACCATGTGGCATCAACAGGTGGCACCACGACACTGTACGAGGATGATATTTCGTCTGTGCGTATGCCAGCCTGGTTACTACCTCCGTACAATACGTCAGGCCCTAAACGACGGATTTACCCATCCACCACACTACCCCAAATCCGTAATAACCAGACACATGCAAGGGTGTAAACGTAAATCATATCTTGGTAAAAATACGCATTTGACGTCGTCACTAGACACACATACACTGTCTCTCATCCTCTCTCTCCCTCTCTCTCTCTCTTGAAAATGGCGACGACGAGAGATATCGTTAGGGTTTTGTTCATCGTCATGTTCTTCTCCATGGCTCTTCATTGGCCTCTCGCTCGATCTTCAAGAACCCGTAAATCTCTGAGAATCTGTGTTTTTCTTCTTCCTTTTTTTTTTTTTTTTGTAAAATGGGATCCGTGTTTTCCCCCATATTCGTTCTTCGATGTTATACTGAAACAAACATTTGAAGAAGAAGCAGAAAAAGATTTTTTTTTTCTTTTTATCTGAAAAAGAAAAGGCCTTTTCTTTTATATCTGAAACAGAAAAAGCTCAAATCTTTATCTCTCTTTCTTCGTCTTCTTGCTTCGTTCCTGATGTCGTCCTTTCTGGGCTTTGTAGGGTTTTTGATAGGAGAAATAGAGGAGAGCACCGAAACGATAACGAAAAAGGTATGTCTGATGACATTTTAGATCTAAAATAAGATCATTATTCGTTTGGTGTTGATGTTACCATTGGCCTGCAAAAATATAAGCTTTTCACAACAAATATGAACACACACACACACACATATATATATATGTGCGTATACACGCATATGAGCGTGTATCTATATACGTACACATTGGTTCGGTTATAATGCCTGTTCATTGTTGGTATTCTCTGTTCTATGAATTAGAAACCCTTTCCGGACTCTCCATCTTTCTGACGAACGGATAAAAATGGATGCTTTATCTATTCTGTTAACAAAAGAAAAGACTTTGCTAATGCAACTATGCATTGGATGCATATGTAACATTTTCTTCAGCATCGTGTGTGTGTGTGTGTGTTATAGACAAAAAAGAATTACACGTGTATATATTTGTATATATGTTTATTATTTAATTTACTGTGAATATTTATTTTATTTTCTTCATCTAGAACAAAACGTATGTAAATTTTTCCTCCTTTTTTGAGGGAATTCCTCTCATTATTACAGTAGAAAAACCCTTCAAGTAATGTGTATATATATGCATAAATTTTGATTAAGAGCTGATTTGCTGGTTTTTAAATTGGTTAACGAAGGAGATGTTGACGGTGACGAGAAAGAAAATAAGCTATGGAGGATCAGCAATCGAAGTTCAAGGAAGACAAGTTCCGACCGGACCGGACCCTCTTCACCATAACAACACTCCTTATGCTACTCCTTGAATTTCCCTTCCCCCTTTTTTTTTAACTTTTATTTTGTTTGAATTTTTAACATGGGTCTATAACATTTTCACATTCGAATATTGTTGTACGGTTTTTCTTATTGGATGTTATAATTATGATTACGGAGAAAGTAACGTTTCTGGAGCCACCGAGTTAGATCAAAAGAGTACATTAAGCCGAGGCCGAAACAAAAACCGCTAAATAAAATTAGGGTAATATATTTAATTAAAGGAGATTTGGTGAAAATTGATTATAAAAGTGGATTAAGATCAGATTGAAATTAAGACCATTTAAAAAAAGGTGAAACATTTAATTTGCACAACGACTAAGTGTATCAAACTAATAAAGATTCAATGCACTTAATTTGTCATCATTACTAATAATATCGAAATTAGTTTTTTTATGAATGGATTTAGTGATTTTTAATTTTAATTTTGCGTTTGGATTAAGGTATCAGATATATTGAACTTTTTCCTTGTTAAATGTCAATAAATGGAGATTGAAAAATGCGAATAAGTGATGCTGGCTATTTATTAGGTACCAAGTGAATGAAATTTTATTTTTGAAATCATTTTTTGTATAAAACAATTTGCATTATTTTTAAATAAATTAAAATTGAATTCATATTTCTTTCTTTTTGCTTCCTAATTTGAATAATAATATATAAAAGTTATCTGTACCGAGGCGACAAGTGTCATTGAAAAAGTATACATATATATATTTATTATTGAACAGTATTATTTTGTATTCTTAAACTTTCTTCATTTAAAATGACAAATATTTTTTAAAAATATATCATCCACAACTGATCTGTTGGATTGCAGGCTGTGCGATAGGCGGGGGGGAAGCCTCTGAGTGAGTCCGAGGGTTCGGATTTTATTTTTGAATTCATTTTTGGTACAAAAAAAAATCACATTGATTAGGTATAAAAAAAAACAGTAGTTAAATTGAAGTCATGTTTCATTCTTTATATTCGATAATTTGAATAATTATATGTAAAAGTTATGAATGTATGGAAACGACATGTTCTTTGAAAAAAAAGATTGTTATTTTAATTATGATTAGTTTCTTCGTTTAAAATTATAAAATAATTTACAAAAATATATCATGCATAACTAATCTAAATAAATTATCAAACCTATACTCAACAAAATAAAAATATCTAATAGAACCCAATCAAACAATATATACTCCTGTATCCATTTTTATTAGGATACAAGAGTATATTATTTTTTTTATTATGAATTATTCTTGATCAAATTTGTGATCTTGATGGAAGTCAAATTATTAGAAATATCTTATATTTCATAACCGAATAACATACATGATGTGAACGCTTAACACAAGCAAAAACAACTTCCCTATAATAAATACTATAGGAGTTAAAGAAAGACAATTATAACATCAAATTAAAGGTTCCGTTATATTTATATTATTGTGTATATATAGTGAAGTTCTCAAATTCATAATGCAATTCAAACATCAAACAAAACATAACATATTAGATACAAAAAAGAAAAACATAAGACAAACATGGCAAAATTCAACATCAAGATGGCTATGTTCTTCGTTGTTGTAGCTATGGTTCATGCAATTGTACCAATCTCAGCCATTGAAGAAGGTGAACCCAAGCAACTTTGGGATGGTTGTCTCACCAAAATGACTCCGAAGTGTACATTAGATATTGTCGAGACCGTCTTTTGGAATGGTACCGTCTCGGATGCTTGTTGTGATGAGCTTGTTCAAGAAGGTAAAGTGTGTCATGACATACTTATCAAATACATGGCGGATCGACCGAGTTTCATTGTTCGCGGAGCTGAATATTTGAAGAAGAGAGATGATGTATGGAATCACTGTGCTTCCATCTCTATGTCTGATTAGGATAGTCTATCTCAAAATAAATACATTGTCTTGAATGGATAAACTATATCTTTTTCTTTTTACATTTTGAATTGTACTTGTTTCTAATCACTTAAATAAATCGACAAAATTTGATAACATATGATTAACGAAAAATCCATTATGAATGGATTTTTGAGTGAATACCAAATTTACCATTAGTGAAGCCCACAATTTGAACAAGAGACTAAAAGACTCGCAATACACTGATTTATCATTTTCTCAATGGGTTACATCATGAATGAATTCAAAGTTTTCCGCAAATTCCGTTTTTAGTTTGTTGGTTAATTTTCAATAAGGTGATCAATAGGGCCCGGAAGGTTTCAGGCTCAAACTCAGGCCGACTCGATTTTTTTCGAGCCTATATAGTTAAACCTGAAATTCGACCCGCGTCGGTCCGATAATTCCCTTTGTAAATATATTTTTTTCTTTTTTTTCAAAATATTGGAATTTCGGATCATCCGATTTGAGTCCAAAGCCCGATTCAAGTCCGACCTAAAAGCCTGGAAACTTCGACCCGCTTATTTTCAGGCTAGGTCGGATCAAGCTTTGGGCCTAATTTGACACCCCTAATTTTCAACCTAAGCTCCTTCGTTTCTTGTTCTTATGTTTGGTTCTATCTACGTTTCTCACGGCATATGTTGGAATACTGAAGAGTGAACACCTAAAAATCATCTGGTTTGTTGGTTAAAAATTGTCTATGCATGCACACATATAGACAAACTTAAACCCGTATATACATGCATGTACACGTATACATATACACACACAAATATACACGCAGTTGCGGGATAACCAATCATGCCCCATAATTTATCTGAATTCATATACGGATCTTGGGCCAATAGGGGAAAAGGCAAAACCAAATGGAAAACGGATGGAAAAGAGAGTAACCAAAAATAAGCAAGGGAAAGGTAAAAATTCTATACAATCTCTTAGGGTTCTCTTCCCCATATTGTGAGACATCTGCATTTGGCGTAAAACTCCAAACCCTAATTCTAAACCATCCTCCTATGTGAAAACAGCTCAGAAAGAAGACGAGGAAACCGAAATGATACAAACTTTTGTATTACAAGAGCGAAAAAAATATCAGGATGTATAAAGGCTGGGGATGATACCGGGAAGTGAAGCCGTGAAGATGAATTCTGATTGCGGACCGAATTAGACGTAGCCTCTAACACCTTGATTTAGCACCAACAGAGACCTCAGTGTAACATATCGGGCATGCCTGTGAAGAAGAAAACGCGGTGAGATCGCGTAGTTGGTCTCGGTCTCACAAGACTCGGGTACCTACGGCTGAAGTTGGATACCCGGGAGTATCCTAACCCGTGAAAAATTCCAAATTTTGGTTGATATTCATTGATTTTAGAGATATTTTGATAATTTCACAAGAAAATAGGTTTAGGTATTATGGTATGTACATTGAAATGGTAGGGATATAACCATAATTTACTCCTACCTGATACCGCGAAGATAAGTTGTCGTAGTTTAGAAAAAACCCAAACCTAAACCTGCATTGTGGATTTCTAGTTTTAGTGCACCCATTTTCTGCCTCGTTTTTTACGGGTACCTCTGCCCCGGATACCCACGAGATCGGGTACCCAAAAACTTGTGGGTTTCGGCTAAAAAATGTCCGCTAGTAATCCGTTGCGCTACTTATGAAAACAAAGTTGGTAAGCCCTTTTTTTATATTTCGTTACCTTGTTGATGCTAAGCCATTTGGTCCCGCAATCGACGTGATAGGCATGCGTGCATGGGAGGGTTATCATCCGTTCTCGTCGTTTGTACTCCATTTGACAGATCACGCATCTGCAGCAAAATGCATGAGCTAAGCCACCATATCTCAAGGTGCAGAAAATGTAAGAAACTCCCGCGAAATGGAAGTACCTGTCTTTTCCTGATTTCTTTCGTGTGAATAAACTGCATTTGTATTTTGAAACTGGGAGCCGAGAAATAATGTCTTGAGAGAGTCCCCGGCTTTGTGTCCCAACTGTCTCACCCAACTCTAGTAATTCCTATACGCAACATGATATAGCAAATAAGTAACCAATTGATGACCAAATTCACAAGCTTGACATAAACAGCTCGCAATTTCACAGATCTAACAATCCAAAATCCGTTTCTGAAAGTCAGACCAAGCATTCTCGCAGAATTTTAATCATTTATAAGACTTTATCTTGGGAAAAAAATAAAGCAGGAGCCAGAACAACACAAACGGGATTATGGAAGACAGTTTCTTACCTCATAAGTCATATTATCTGGATCGAGAGTGTCCTGCCAAACCATCTGCACGACACAGAGCAAGAGTCAGGATTACGCATTGTGTCTTCCTTAAACAAGCCTCATATCCAATGATGAGTGGGATGCAGAAGAAACGGCTAATATCTCCACGAGTATATAGGACCCTCAATAATCATAGAAAACCGGTAGAAGCCACTCTCACCTGAAAGTCATCACCATTAGGATGCCTTCGTAAGCCTGGGAAACAAATAAAGACAAGCAGAAGAATGGTTTAGAATTCCAAATACATATCGACATTCATACAAACAGAATCCAAAAACCCGTAAATGATCAAATGAGAAAGAGAACAGGACTCAAACTAACGAAGCCTAGTCTGCAACTTTCTAGAATCAACAAATAAGGGTGTTAAACAGATGTAAAGACGATAGCAACGTTAAACAGATACAGAGGCATCAGTTAATGTGAGAAAAAAATTAAGACATCCAGTGTTCAAACATCTGTATGTTTGATCCATGACATATATAGCAGATCCACTGCCCGAGCTGAACTGCTGAACTAGAATGCATCAATCCTAACATTTCCACACTTCTATGTAAACTGACCAAACAGCACGACATATCACGAGAAATGGAACTAGTAAGCAGGTTCTAGGCATTGATGAGGCAATATCAGTTAATTTATCTCTACTGATGTCTCAACTTCTATCATATTGTATGGCAGTGTGCTATTTAAAACAACAATGGAATCCAATAACTCTTCAATCTACGGCAATGATAGCAAAAGAAATCGCAATAATGCAGACGCGGAAATTTCCATGAATGGAAACTCACATTCCACGGAATTATCATGTGTCGCCATGCCCGAATTTCCTCCCAACCCCATATTGACCTCGACATTCTGTGCATTAGTCATCAATGAAGAGTTCGTAATAGGCCTCCTATATTCATCAAATGCAGACTGGTGACCACCAAACACTGGTTGTTGATCATGGAATGGATATACATGTCCATGGTTGTAATAAGAAAAACTCTCATCATCAGACAATCCAAACTTGTAATAGCTGACATTCAATGGGTATACGCTTTCCTGCACAGCACGAAACCATGTTTTGAGATCTACCAAGAGAAAAACAGAGAACAAGAGCCTATATGGAAACTCTTTTCTGGCATCTAGAACTCAGAAAGACAAAACTTGAGAGTCACATGACACATAGTCCAATAAAGAACATAAGCCAAAAACAATGCAATTTTTAGGTAACCACACAATGATCATAACTGCAGATTATATATATGTGATTCAAAACAAAGCTTGGACACAGAAAGCAAACCTATACATTCCAAGGACCAAGACCCAGAAAGGAAATAATTCTTTTCAGCAGTTTACCTGTACATGTGCTGCACCATCGAAAATGAAATTTACGTGATCGTACGTCAGACCTTCTACATATTCCATGAAGCTACCGGCGCTATTGTAAGGGTAACTGGTGCTCAGGTGATGAGCTTCCAAATGTCGATTCCAGTTCATTTTGGATCGCTAGATCTGCATAAAACAATCAAACGAAATGCCAGATCTGCATAGCTCAATCCCTAATTCATAAAACACTTCATTTCATTACAAACAAGTTTCTCACCGATTCGTTACAGATTTAGCATAAAACTCGACAAACAAAGAATCCAAGTTAGCTTTCAGATAGTTCCACCATCTCAGGGAAACCAATCTACATTCCTTTTCCATTCTTTTGTATCAGATCGAACAACAGTCTCAGCCATTTTACTCATTACACCCATGATTAGGTAACAACAAACGTAAGATGTCAGAGCTTCTGCATTGGGAATCTCACCTAACTGTTCATTGATGAACACGAGCAAGAAAAAGTAGCTGTGCGAAAGGAAAACAAAAAAGAGAGCTTAAATTGTTTTGCTACTAGTTTCGATCTGCACCGAGAAAACAACCATATTTGGACGGGAAATCCTTCGATTTCGAAGAAAACTACAATCGATACATTAACCATGAGCGAATTTCACAGAAATATTTCAGTTTGGCCTCCGGGAAAATGCAGGAATACGATTTTCCAACTCTTATCAACATAATGCATCAGATTCGTGCAGCCGAACCGCAAGAAACAGCAAAGCAAAGGCAAAAAGTGGACAGAATCCAATCATACCTGATTTTCCCGGCAAGCGAACAGAGAAATCAGAGGCTCATAGGCATGTCATTGCACGATTACGATTTCTAGGAAATCTAAAACGAAGCATAGAAAAAATTTCTTAAATAAAGTCAGTTTTTTTTTTTTGTGATTTCCCGTGAAAGCGATTTTCTCGGGAAAATGTAGGAGGAAAATGAGAGGAGTGGATCAGGTGGTGGAACCAAAGAAACGGGTTTATATTTACATAAAGGAGGTGGTGCATATAAAAAATACATAAAATTCTAATAATTAAATACAAGAAAAAATGGGAGAAAAATACAGGGAAATTATAGCAGACAGTGACAGGAAGGAAAGAAAGAAACAAAATATGTATATACATCAATACATGTTGGTAAAAAACAGCTCGCCGCTGTGCCCTGAAGTTACTTTTGTTTACGGAAAAAAAATAAAAAACAATCATATATATATATATATATATTAAAAATAAAAAACTGTATACGGTGCGACTCCTTTTTTTTTTTTAATTAAGTAACCTGTTTATTACATTTTCTATTTTTGTTATCTAAATATAAAGTTCAAAGATGGCATTCATCCATTTTTTAAATGAGTTTGATATTTTTAATCACGTTGTTTGTAGATTATGCAACTTTTTTTTTTCTAACACATATGTCCGTGTAAAACTTGTAAAATTTTGCAATTTCCTTCTTACATAAATCATAATTTCATAAAAAAAAAGTTATCTTCAAAAAATATAAAAGAATCTACAAAAAGTTAACTTGTCGGCTCTTTAATCTTTTTTTTATTATTTAGTCTAAGAATCTATCTTTTGATTATATGATTTAACACTATTTAAAAAATTATAATAACCCAAAAATTGCCCTACTTATCTAAATCATTTAAAACTTACAGTGAATTGTGCAGTATCGTTTTTATTCAATATCGTAAAAGATAATGGTCAAAATATCATACTTTTATTTTCTTAATATCTAAATACTGAATTATGTTATATAATCACACACAAATATTAAATTTGTAATTCTATCTTTAATTTTAAATATTAATGTTGTCTGTTATGTCTAATTATTTACTGAATTTGGTTGCTATATATTTTAACATCCAATTAAAATATTAATTTTATATTTTATTTGGTTTTATGATATTTGGATTAGATATAAAAATTAAAAATAATTAATTATTTACCTCGAAACAAATAATTAATTATTTACATAGGTTATTATTGCGTAACGGCGAATGCGATACTCTCTGTAACCAACAGTTAAATTGGAAGAATAAAGGTGCAAAAGCGGTGACATAACGACTGTGACGAGCACGGTACAGTCTCAACTCCATCTTATGTGGGGTCCGCATCCACGTATCGTTTTCATGGATAGAGTAAACCGGGAACCGGCTAAACATTACTTAGTTTATTTGGTTATTTTTAGGAGAGAAAATTAAGAACCGGTTCCCGGTTACTGACTCGTGCCAAAAAGTTGATAACCTGTCGTTTCTACATTCTAGTGTACCGGTTTTACATTTCTTTTTTGCTATTTGTCAAATACATTGGTATCTAATTTTACCTACTTTTTTAACACTAATATATATATATATATATATATATATATATATATATATAACTGACATAAAAGTAACATTTTTTACACAAAAAAACATGTTAAGATAATATTAACAATTTACTGCTTCGCTTGGTTCATGGATTCGACACTAAGGTATATGTAACTCATACCAATGCAATAATTTCTATACATGTCTGCTGTTCAAATTATTTTTATTTGAGGAGAGTTGGACGTTATTATACTTTATATTTCATTACATAATTTGCATGATAACATATAATAACATAATATTATGTGTTGTTACATAATTTGGAAAATTATTTGTTTATGATTGGATTTTTACTCACATTATTTATAAAATACTCAAATCAACTGGCAATCATATATTATTTATTAAGTGGGAAAAAAATAAAAAGTTGGGTTGAACAATCTTTGATTTCCATAAATATGGGTGGCATCCCATTGACCATAGGTTGCTCAACTTGCAAGGAAAGTGAAGGAAAATATATAAAATAAAATGAAAAAATCATTAGCATCTTTCGAAATAAAAAGGGTTACAACTTCCAAGAATTTAACCCAAGATTGGACCCCACTGTTTTCATGATATGTGACTCCCCCATTGGTACCACTTATTAGGCATTAATTACATCATGGCATATGCTTTCGTGTGCGATGGTTTACTCCTAGTGCAATATGTATCAAAATAACATTTTTTTTGTTAAAAATGTATCAAAATAACATTAACATCATAGGAAGTCTTTCAAAGTATTTCATTGATATAACTCAAGGAATATATATATATATATATATATATATATTAAATATAACATTTTCTAAATTAGTTATTAATTTACTAAGAAAATTATTGTATCTAAAAAATTAATGTGAAAAATATTTTTCTTCTATTAGTATTTCATTTTTTAATCTTTATAATTTAAAATACAATTTCCTATTCCCATACAAAAATTTGTTAGTCTAAAAATTTATATATAAAAAAACGATCTGTATATTATAATACATCTATGATCTACTATGTATGTATGTATGTATGTATGTATGTATGTATGTATGTATGTATGTATGTATGTATGTATGTATGTATGTATGTATGTATGTATGTATGTATGTATGTATGTATGTATGTATGTATGTATGTATGTATGTATGTATGTATGTATGTATGTATGTATGTATGTATGTATGTATGTATGTATGTATGTATGTGAGAATGCCTTTAGATAATCTAATTTCTAATCAAAATAATCCAATTTGTAGTATGAGCACTATTAAAGAATTGTAAATAAGATTGTGAGAAAGATAGGATATTTTATTAGTAATTTGTTTATCTATCAAATAAAATATTGGGAATTTTAATCCCCACTCTTTGTAAATTTTTAAAATATATAATATAACAGAGACATAACCAAAGTTATGTCGTCGAAAATCATGTGACATAAGAGTCATGAATATATGATACATGGGTTTGTTGTTGCTTTGTGGCAAAATCATGTGACATTTGTTGAAAAGTGATCACCTAAACCATATGATTTCCATCCACTAAAATTATAAAAGTTGGTCCGTTCAGGTTTTATTAGGCGGCAATCCCACGTATATGTATGAAAACCACACACACACATATATATACATATATATAATAATTATGTTGGTATAAATATTTTGTTTGTCTCATATTTCTCATTAATTCGATCTAAATTTTTAATTGAACTTTTCTGCTCTGTTATATATATATATATATATATTCCCATTGTCAAGGTGTTTTCTCTTTTGATAAAACACAGAGATGAGGATTTTTTTCAAATATACTAAATTAAAAAAAATAATATTTTAGCTTTAGCTTTATAAATAGTGTACAAAAAAGAAAACAAGAATATGAACAATCATATCCAAAACACAAAGTATACATACTTAGGCTAGAAGAAAGAAGCTATGATTCCACTTGTCCACAACACTTCAATGGAGATATATATCGAGTGAGTGCATTGTACAACATACATACATGTATTGTTATACATACATACATACCCTTACATCATCTTTTTTTTAGTCCACCTGTGAAAAAAAGGAATGAAATGGAATGAAATGTGAGATCATCATTATTATTTATTATAATGGATCCAAAAAAAGAATTAGCATTAAGGTAAGCAAAGGAAGACCCCACAAAAACACAAAGAGCATCCCAATAATTTTGTTCATCCAATCATATTCACATTCTCATAAACCTTTCCTCAAAGATAATCATTTCCTTGAAAATAAAAATTTTAAAAAAAAATCACAAATTTGGGAAAGTAACAGAGAGAACCAAAAGGCTATTCTGAGGCTGATGTAATAAAACATGCCCTGACAAAGATATCAAAGGCTGTCAGACATGTGTAGAGAGAGAGGGAGAGGGGGGGGGGGAGAGAGAGAGAGTTGAGGCAAAACCTAGCGTGCAAGCAAGGAAGAATCATCACATTCCCACATTCTTTTTGTCATTGTAACACATGACAAGACAAAGAGAGCAAAGTCACTCAGAGACAAAGCACAGAAAAGCACACATTGTCTATTGATCATAATATGCAACTGTTCTGAGTGATTTTTCTCTTTCATCAGAAGGACCCTTGAAGAAATTTCCAATCTTTTCCCCTTTTTCTCCTCCCCAATGACATGAATTTAGGTTAACATGGTCACACGTATTCACAATTGGCCATTAGAACAACCGAGCCCATGGTGAACGAGGGAAAGAAGTAAAGAAAATGGATCTTGTTACCTCGGTTAGATAGGGAATGAATCAGCCATAGAACACGGCATAACGCAAAGCCGGCCGAGAAACCTGCAAAGAAGAACAGATCAAATATCGGTCTATCTTTCATGTCTTGGAAACTGATACCAAAGATCAGTTCAGGACCTAAGGGGAAGAACTTGCTGATATGATGATCCAAACATTTCCTCATATTCAATCGATAATATGTGACAATGAAATATTCATTATCACAATACAGCCAAACGTTTTCAAAACCTGAACCAATCCACAGAAGCCAGAGAGAGAAGTACGATTTAACGGCAATTCCATGTCAACTGAAACAAAACCGAAGTACATGTGGAAGACAAATACTAGAACAGCTCAGTGTGCAAACAGAAGAACATCACATCCAAAAAGTGAGTAAATGTTATGAAAAATACCGATTTAGTAAAATAGATAAACCTCTCTAAGAGTAAATAAGCAATCCGCAATAAACCCACAAATGCTATCTTACAGTCAATATTTTCATATGTTTAGGAAATATAAACCTAAAGTCAGTTCTGTCCAGGCTTTTGGGGAGTTTGGTTGATATTTGGATCTTATGTAACTTTGCTTTAATACCGGAAATAATTCGCTTGAGCTCTGTATTACCAAAGAACCAAATATTAGAGTCCCAAGTTATGAACCCACTAACCACATAGTCTAGAATCCCATTTGCTTACCAGTAGATGTAACTTATGGTAAAAGCCTCTGTATAGATGAAATAACTTGAAAAAATAAATCTTTAGAAGAAAGTCTTACATGGGTGATGTCCAGAAGTACTATTGATGATTGCCCGTTCCATGATATGAGCAGTCGAAATATGTCTCCGACCTTCCCAAACCTAACTCTAACTCTTTCTGCTTCAACCGCAACAAGCTCTGCTCGTTTTCTATTCTCATCACCTCGTTTTCCATCCTCAACCCCTCAAGCTCTTCATTTTTCTTGCTGCAATACCTCAGCCACTTGAAACATTGCTTGTCAATTTGGAAAGCTCGGGTCTGAATAATGGCTCTTTGCTTATGGATGACCAATTTCTTTTTCTTGATCCAGTCTTTTCGTTCCCGTGATGACTTTGTTGGGTCTTTAAAAATTCTAGACATTTGTGCCCTAAAACTATCCAGCCCGACATGTTGTTCACTTGCCTGAATACCGTTATCGCCATCCTCATCTTCACTGTCTGAGTCATCGTCGTCATCGCTCTCGTCACTTGAATATTTTTCATCGTCATCATCATCACCATCATCATCAACCTTGTTGATCTCTCTTGAGCATCCATCGACAGGCATGAGGGCAGAACCCTGGTGATCGAGATAATGGCAATCCGGTAAATTTTGCCCATTATGGTAAGCACACATTTCCTTGTAAAACAAGTGCTTCGAGTTCAGAATCTTCCTCACTTCATCCTTAGCTTTAGCTGACAGGTGAGACATTGAGTCCATAAGGGAAGGATTTTCCACAACACTGCAACTGATATTCCTCCCAAGAATATCGTTCAACTTCTTGTATCTCTTGTTCAGATCGTTAAACTTGTCTTCGCATTGCTGTGGCGAGACACGACAGCCTTTACCGATCATGATTTTCGAAACCATTTTCCACTTACCCTTTTTATGTAAACAACCATGCTTGCTTTTGAGGCCCTCCTCAGCTCCGCCATCTATCAAACCATCATCGTCGATACTCGCAACTACAGAAATAAGAAGCCTAATAACATCATCAGTCCATTTCATTCTTTGCCAAGGAATCCCCATTTCATCATTGACTTCAGTACACTGTTCAGCATAACCATCCTCTGTAAGAAATGGCTCATCTTTCTCACTGTCACTTCCGCTACTATTCTGTGGATCAATTCCCTTTCCTTTATCCCAATTCATTGGAAATCTATAAACAAAGAATCATCACAACATAATCTCAGGTAAGATTAAGTTGTTGACTTTGACGAATACCCACCTCCAAAACTTGAACTCTCTATCAAAACCCACAATGCCCAAAAACCCTAACCAAAATGTCGATTTAAGAAACTAAAAGGGGCTATGCATAATTGCATATGAATGAAAAGAACCCTAATAACGCACAAGAACAGAATTCAAATCATACCTAACTCCTTTGTTTTCCTTCAGATTCTCGGAGTCACCACATGAACAGCGAGATTCACCTTCGAGACCAATTCAACAGAACTTGAACGATAATGAATGACGCTTTCGGGGGTAATTGGACTAAAATCTCAGAAAGATGAACTTTTCATCTTCGCGTGAGAGATTTTACGGGACAATCCATGATGAATCGTTCCCCAATTAGCGATTCCATGAGATGTTGATCAGTGGAAAATTGGGTACTTTAGTTTAGAACAAGAAAGACACGATGTTATAAATTATTTTCCAAAAACTTTTCTACGCGGAATATTCTGTAGTTTTAAAATTAAAAATACAAAACGAAAATCCAAAATATTTAATGAAATCGAAATGGGAAAATATAAAATTAATAATAATAAAAGTATAAAAAAAACTCAAAATATGGATAAAAGAGACAATTCCCCTTCCCGTTTGTCCTTGTCCAAAATGCTCATGTTACTTTTACTTTTTTTGCAAATAGACTTTCTAACATGTTTCTATGTTAATGTTTTAAGTAAATGTTTTATATGTTAATGTTTATTTTGCTTGCAATAAGACGGATAATAATAATAATTTCCAATAAATTACGACGAAAATACGTCTCTCGCACTGAATTTGAACAAACTTGGTTACGAAAATGAAAATTTATCACTGTTTTAAGATTTTTTCAGTGCATATATTGTAGTAAAAAGTAAAAGTATGGGGGAGTTCTCCGGCCTAGTGGTTAATGACAATTCTCAGGGCGGTGGGTTTTTTCAGGTCCGCGATAATGTCCTGATGCCGTTCTCGTCCGGTCTATGAGCTGAGAGGCGTTGCGGTATCCGGTATCCGACCCGAAGGGTCGTAGGTTAGGGGTTTCCCATCAAAAAAAAAAGTAAAACTGAAAAACTTTTACGACGAACACAATAATACGAATTATGATAGAAAAAATATTGATAGACAAAATCGAATATTAAAGAACACAAAATTTATTAAGTAAAGATTTTGTACTTTTAGTTGAGGTGAGTGGTATATTATATAGTATTAAAAATGAATTTGATTAGTGGACACCGACAAAATAACATGAAGTACCACGGAAAAATTAACGGACCGAAATAGATAGATGTGAATTAGAGCTTTGTATTATGATTTTATTTTTTTGTCTAACGAACAACGTAATTTTATCGGGAAAAAAAAAGAAATTATCAACGGTTCTAATATTAGTAATAATAATATTAAGTTTTAAAACTAAATTAGTTCGATGGTCTCATATTCTTGAATGGGCAGCGTTTAGAATCTTGGAATAAATTTGTTAGAAACATTCATATTCATATTTAGTATATACATCAAATTAAATACGGCATGACTATAGTCTTAGGTTCTTATTATAACCATTGACTACAAGTAAAAACTCTTGAAAGTAAATATCACTTTAACTCTTGCCATTAGTAAGCATTGATTGTAAAATTAAAACCGGCAGCTTTTTGGACCCTATAAATTTCGTATGTTTATTCGTTTCACATATCATCCAAAACAATTCAACAGATAAGAAAAAAAAAAAGCCGATCTATTTCTTGTTATATTATTATCTACAAAATGGAGAGCAAATGGAGGGTGATCTTTTCAACGTTGCTAGTCGTGAGTTTGTGCATCACTGATTGCGCGAAACAAAGCCTAGCGGCGGAAGGGCAACAACCGCAACAGCTTCCCGGTTTACCTGGACTTTTTCCACCCGGTGTTCCCGGTTTTCCTGGACTTTTCCCGCCCGGTTTACCCGGTTTTCCGGATTTGACAAAGTGCGGGTCGACGCTGTTCAATATTCCGGGATGTTTGCTGCAAATATCAACGTCAATCTTCACAGGGCAGTTTGGAAACGTCGGAATTCCATGTTGCAAAGAACTTTTGGATTTAAGCGAAAATTGTTTACCATCAATTTTTCCTCTGAATCCGTTTGTTCCTCTTCTCAAAAGTAGTTGTTCTAAGGCTGTTGCAGCTCCTCCTGCAGCAAAGTAGAACATAGGAGTTTTTGAATTTTTATATATGGTGGAGATAGAAGTTTGCAGGAGTATCTATGTTTGTTATTGATAAAGATATTGAAATAATTATGTTTAGTAATAACATATTTGGTCTCGATATAACCATTTTTATTTGCGACAGATTTTACCCTCGGAAAAAGAAACAAATCATTTGTGTCATTCTATCGAAAATCATTGGGAATCCGATTTGTGTTTGATTATCTCTGGGCACATATACACATCTATATGCATGGAAACAATATTAAACTTATCCAAGAACGTTCTCTGTTCTGCATACACTTTTTCTATCAAGAAGAAAGAGGAAAAAAGAGTATGTGTGTCTATTTACAACACTTAGACAAAAATATTTGTGTCTTCTTAAGAAAACATCTTCAATGGAGCCGAGAAGTTAGGGCGACGAAAACATGCTCGGGACAAGGGATTGTCAGTCCGCCCCATCGGATGGCTGAAACCAAACACTTCTTCGGATTTACGAAGCAGTTGTTGAAAGGAAGGATGATCCAAGTACGAAAGAGGCACCAAATATCTCGTCTTCTCTCCCTCTCCCACGTACACCGCAATGTGTCCCTTTGGTACTCTATTTAGGATCTTCTTCGCACCCAATAGACCTCTCACCAAAGCCATTATATCCCTATTGTCTTCTGAATATACCTCGAAGGAAGAAAATAAAAGGAACTTTTGATTTCTTGTTTTTGTTGATGCCAAGAGATTGTTTTGCTTTTGAAAATGGAGTTTGACTCTGTATATAAAGATGATCGACCAGAGGTTTCATATATGGGGCATGCACATTGACAGTTCACATGGTTTTGTCTCCCTCATGTTAAACCACAAATGCTGTATGGTTGTAATATATGATGGTGGGTCGAATTTACTCGAATCTTAAATGGGAGAGGGTCAATGATCGTTTCTGGACAGCTTCATATCTGCTTCACAAGGGTTTGTCTTCTCGATGTTTGTAATGAAAATATGAGATGCCACCATCCATACCCATATGCTCTTGTCCATGACATTGACTTGGAGATGGCATTTTTATGTGGGGACCTGAAGCCGCATACCAACATGGAAGCAAGTCTTATTCACTACTTATCACTCTTCCTCATGACTGAAACACTCGACGATTTTTCTTTGGACAAAATACAGTCAGGGCCGCATGAGTTTGGTTCTTGTCTTGCGAAATGTTCGTCAAAATCACTAAGCCACAATTCTTCTGTCGACTGGACGACAAAGCCATGTGATGGTTGGTGCTTATTCGCTGATTTTATTTTGCGCCAAATTACGAAGGCCTATCTTCAAGTGCCAACTTCAATCTATAAATATATGTTACTAAGTAACTCTCTTGAACTACACAAGAAAGCTGTCATCTTTGGAAGAAAGGGTAAACAGAGAAGAAGACACTTAACACGTCAGTTCCATGGCTTTCCGGGTTCTTCGCAGTCTGCAATCAAAGCAAATTTTCCGCCAAGCAAAATCATTCACGCCCTCAAACTCCAGCGGTGTTCCAAAGGGGCACCTTGCGGTTTACGTTGGGGAAAGCCGGAAGAAGAGATTCTTGGTCCCGGTGTCATTCTTGAATGAGCCTTCGTTTCAAGATTTGCTGAGAAAAGCCGAAGAAGAGTTTGGATTCGATCACCCGATGGGAGGACTCACGATACCCTGCAGCGAAGAAGTATTCGCGGATCTCACGTCTCGGCTCAGCAGTTCATTATGATGCAACAATACCAGTTTTGTAGATTCTGTTTCCCGAACTTGTACATTTTTCATCGGTTTTCCCCTGAGAAAAGATGGGAGAAGAAAACTCTCTTCGGAGGAACTAATGTAACACAACTTTGTCTTAATGTTTTAGTGAGTTGAAGGATCAAAGATTGTGAGTAGTTATAACAATATATTTCTTTCTCTAAAGTTAGAAACGGTCCGCCGCCAAACCAAAGTGGTTCAAACCTTAAAAAAATAAATTCTTTGAAAACCAAATTAGTTCGATATTCTTCTACTCTTAAATAGATAATATTTAAAATCTTGCGATAAATTTGTTAGAAACAGAAAAACGAGTTACTGCATGACTGTAATCTTAGGCTCTTATAACCGGCAGCTTTTTTGACCCTATAAATTTCACATATGTTTATTCGTAGGTAAGAAGAAAAAAAGAAAACAAGCCGTCCTATTTCTTGTTGTTTATTATCTACAAGATGGAAAGCAAGTGGAGAGTGATTTTTTCAATGATTTTAATTGTGAGTTTGTGCCTCACTGATTGTGTAAAACAAAGTCTAGCGGCCGAAGGGCAACAACTGCAACAACTTCCCGATTTATCTGGACTCTTTCTGCCTGGTATTCCCGGTTTACCAGGATTTTTTCCACCCGGTTTGGGGTTTCCGGATTTGACGAAGTGCGGGTCGACGCTCATCCCGGGATGCTTGTTGCAAATATCAACGTCAATCTTCATAGGACAGTTTGGAAATATCGGAATTCCATGTTGCAAAGAACTTTTGGATTTAAGTGAAAATTGTTTACCATCCATTTTCCCTCTAAATCCGTTTGTTCCTCTTCTCAAAAGTAGTTGTTCTAAGGCCGTAGCACCTCCTCCTCCATCAAAATAGATTGTTGGAGATTTTGGATTCATATATGTCGCGGTGGTAGAAGTTTGCTATCTATGTCATTATTTGCAAAAATTAATGTAATAATATTTAGTCAAGAATCAATAACATCTTAATTTAGTCCCAATATAATTGTTTTTTATTGCCCACCGATTTTTCTAACTCACAAAGAAACAAAGTCATATTTTGAGCCCACAAAATCATTGAGAATCCAAATTTTGGGTAGAGATACATTTACATGTATGAAACCATTACTAACTTCTCCAAGAACATCCTCTACATAGAAATGGCTTTCCCACAAAGAAGAAAGAGGAGAAAACTGTGTGGTGTATTTACATGGAGAAAAAACTCAATCGCTACACTGAGACAAAAATATGTTGGTGTTTTCTCGTCAATGGAGCCGAGAAGTTAGGGCGACGAAAACATGTTGGGGACAAGGGATTGTCAGTCCGCCCATCGGATGGCTGAAACCAAACTCCTCTTCGGATTCACGAAGTAGTTCTTGAAAGGAAGGCTGATCCAAGTACGAAAGAGGCACCAAATATCTCGTCTTCTCTCCCTCTCCTCCTCTTCGGATTCACGAAGTAGTTCTTGAAAGGAAGGCTGATCCAAGTACGAAAGAGGCACCAAATATCTCGTCTTCTCTCCCTCTCCCACGTACACTGCAATGTGTCCCTTTGGTACTCTGTTTAGATTTTTCTTCCCACCCAATAGACCCCTCGCCAAAGCCATTTATGTTGTGTTCTGAATATAGATCGAGAGAGAAAAAAAAACTTTGGATTTCTTTTTTTGTTGATGCCAAGAGATTGTTATGTTTTGAGAGATAGAGTTTGGTTCTGTATATAAAGATGATGGCCAAGAGGTTTCATGGGTCATGCACATTGATAGTTCACATGGTTTTGCCCTCCTTCATGTTAAACATCAAATTTTGTATGATTGTAATATATGATGGTGGGTCAAGTTAACTCTAATCTTAAATGGAAGAGGGTCAATCATCTTCATATCTGCTTCACAAGGGTTTGTCTTCTCGATGTTTGTAATGAAAAGATGAGATGCCACCATCCATAACCATATGCTCTTGTCCATGACATGGACTTGGAGATTGTATTTTTATGTGGGGGCCTGAAGCCGCATACCAAAGAGCAAGCTCACATGACAATTTTTCCGTGGACAAAGTACAGTTCGGAGCGGCAAATCACTAAGCCACAATTCTTCTGTCGACTTGAAAGACAAAGCCATGTGATGGTTGGTGCTTATTAGCTGATTTTCTTTGCGCCAAATTATGAAGGCCTATATTCAATTGCCAACTTGAATCTATAAATATATGTTATCAAGTAAATCTCTCGACCTGCACAAGAAAGCTGTCATCTTTGATAGAAAGGGTACACATAGAAGAAGACACTTACACAATCAGTTCCATGGCTTTCCGGGTTCTTCGCAGTCTGCATTCGAAGCAACTTTTCCGGCAAGCAAAACCATTCCAATCTGGCGATGTTCCAAAGGGGCACTTTGCGGTTTACGTTGGGGAAAGCCGGAAGAAGAGATTCTTGGTCCCGGTATCGTTCTTGAACGAGCCTTCGTTTCAAGATTTGCTGAGAAAAGCCGAAGAAGAGTTTGGCTTTGATCATCCGACGGGTGGACTCACGATACCCTGCAGTGAAGAAATATTTGCAGACCTCACGTCTCGGCTCAGCAGTTCATTATGATGCAACAAGACCAGCTTTGTACATTTTCCATCAGTTTCTTTTTGGGCTAGGACGGAGAAAACTCTCCTCGGAACGGAAACACTAGAGTTGCTTAACCAATGTAACTTAGCTTTTGTCTTAAAAGTTTCAGTGAGTCGTCAGATGTAATCTTCTGAGTAATTGACCTTATTGAGCTAAAACTTCTGAGATATTCAAATCCACGCTGCGTGTTAAAACAACAACGCCCGATGAGAACTGCAACTCTCTACCAATGTATGGAGGAAACTGTTTACCTGATCAACTGCGCAAGGTCCTATGTATTTGGATCCAGAGATTCTGGTTAAGGGTTATGACCTGCTTGATAGCACGTATCCCCATTCTGAAGGCCTTTCAAATTGGTAATGTTGGAGATTATCAGTCGACCACATCTGCAAGTGATTTCCAACGAATGGGATCCTACCAAGGAATTGAAAACGATCTCATTTTACACATAATGCCCAGTCAATTGAACGATCTTTGAATCTTGGCATGTATTTATAAGGAATTGGAGAAAAACTCCCTCTCCGCCTTCTCCTGAGAGCGACGAAATTCCAGATTCTGTGAGAGCTCGTAGGCGGCCAAAATTAGCACGATTTTAACGCAATCAGATGTCGGGGACGGTACGGGACGAGAGCCGAAGTGAACGGACGCGGCGAAAGATTTGACCGCCGAACACGGGGATGGAACCGACCGGATTCGGAGTGACGATTTCCATCTTCCCAACCCACGACGGCGGAGGTGGGGGGAGTATCCACTACTCCGTCTCGATCGATTCTTCTTCTTCTTCTTCTTCTTCTTCTTCACGCAAACTACGTGTCTAAAATAGATTCTAGAAAACGGAGAGTTTAAAATTCTCCCGTGAATGGTCCGAGATCTGTTTGGATGAAGGCTCAAATATCGGCCCATTAGTTGATGGGCTTTAACATTACCTACGTGGCATTACAATTTTAATTTTAATATGAAGAAAAAAAAGTAACTTTCGATGATGAAAAACAGACGTCGTATACCAACCAAATGCGCCCATTCCTTTTTTAAAGTAGATTTGTAGATTATTTTAAAAAGTTTCGATTCTAATCTTAATTTCGTTAGATTTATTAAAATATTTACTTAAAAAATGTTATTTCTAGATTGATTTGATTAATTTATTTTTTATTAAATTCGATTCAAATACTTTTTCTATTACTTGTTATTCTATAATATTTACGTTGATTCAATTTTTTTTGTATTAATATCGACACTATCACATTTATCAATTAGAAGTTTTAAAATTTAAAAGTTAAGATTTAAAAATTCACTGGGTAGTTTGAATTCGCAGTAAATCACAGTTGGAAGAGATCATGAATTTGAATATCTCAGAAGTTTAAGCTCAATAACGTCAATTACTCGTAACATTACATCTAACCTCTCACTAAAACTTTTAAGACAAAAGCTAAGTTACATTGGTTAAGCCAAAAAAAAAAAGAAAGATCGAAAATGTACAAAGCTGGTACTGTTGCATCATAATGAACTGTTGAGTCGAGACGTGAGATGTGCGAATACTTCTTCGCTGCAGGGTAACGTGAGTCCGCCCATCGGGTGATCGAATCCAAACTCTTCTTCGGCTTTTCTTAGCAAATCTTGAAACGAAGGCTTGTTCAAGAACGATACCGGGACCAAGAATCTCTTCTTCCGGCTTTCCCCAACGTAAACCGCAAGGTGCCCCTTTGGGACATCGCCAGATTGGAATGGTTTTGCTTGGCGGAAAATTTGCTTTGATTGCAGACTGCGAAGAACCCGGAAAGCCATGGAACTGATGTGTTAAGTGTCTTCTTCTCTGTTTACCCTTTCTTCCAAAGATGACAGCTTTCTTGTGTAGTTCAAGAGAGTTACTTAGTAACATATATTTATAGATTGAAGTCGGCACTTGAAGATGGAAAAGAAAATCAACTAATAAGCACCAACCATCACATGACTTTGTCCTTCAAGTCGACAGAAGAATTGTGGCTTAGTGATTTGCCGCTCCGAACTGTACTTTGTCCACGGAAAAATTGTCATGTGAGCTTGCTCTTTGGTATGCGGCTTCAGGCCCCCACATAAAAATACAATCTCCAAGTCCATGTCATGGACAAGAGCATATGGTTATGGATGGTGGCATCTCATCTTTTCATTACAAACATCGAGAAGACAAACCCTTGTGAAGCAGATATGAAGCTGTTCAGAAAAGATGATTGACCCTCTTCCACTTAAGATTAGAGCTAACTTGACCCACCATCTTATATTACAACCATACATCATTCGTGGTTTAACATGAGAGAGACAAAACCATGTGAACTATCAATGTGCATGTCCCATATATGAAACCTCTGGTTCTTTATATATAGAACCAAACTCCATCTCCCAAAAACACAACAATCTATTGGCATCAACTTAAAAAAGAAATCAAAAGTTCTTTTTTTCCTCCCTCAAAATTTATTCAGAAGACAATATAAATGGCTTTGGTGAGAGGTCTAATGGGTGGGAAGAAGATCCAAAAGAGAGTACCAAAGGGATACATTGCAGTATACGTCGGCGAGGGAGAGAAGACGAGATATTTGGTGCCTCTTTCGTACTTGGATCAGCCTTCCTTTCAACAACTGCTTCGTAAATCCGAAGAGGAGTTTGGTTTCAGCCATCCGATGGGCGGACTAACAATCCCTTGTCCCGAGCATGTTTTCGTCGCCTTAACTTCTCGGCTCCATTGACGAGAAAACACCAACGCATTTTTGTCTCAGTGTAGCGATTGAGTTTTTTCTCCATGTATATACACACAAACAGTTTTCTCCTCTTTCTTCTTGATAGAAAGTTAGTATTGTTTTCATACATGTAAATGTATCTCTACCCAAAATTTGGATTCTCAGTGATTAGGTAGAAAAATATGTCAGAAATAAAAAAAATATATTGGGACTAAATTAAGATGTTATTGATTCTTCACTAAACATTATTACATTAATCTTTGTAAATAATGACATAGATAGTAAACTTCTACCACCGCGACATAGATGAATCCAAAATCTCCAACAATCTATTTTGATGTAGGAGGAGGTGCCACGGCCTTAGAACAACTACTTTTGAGAAGAGGAACAAACGGATTTAGAGGAAAAATGGATGGTAAACAATTTTCACTTAAATCCAAAAGTTCCTTGCAACATGGAATTCCGATATTTCCAAACTGTCCTGTGAAGATTGACGTTGATATTTGCAACAAACATCCGGGGATGTTGAAGAGCGATCAGTGAGGCACAAACTCACAATTAGCATCATTGAAAAGATCACTCTCGACTTGCTTTCCATCTTGTAGATAATATATAACAAGAAATAGGACGGCTTACCTACGAAATCTGTTAAATGTTTTGGATGATATGAGAGAATAAAACACATGAAATTTATAGGGATAAAAAAAGCTACCGGTTTTTATTTTACAAGTCACATTTTCAATCAATGCGTAACCTATTAATTGCAAGAGATGCGGTTATATTTAGCTTCAAGAGTTTTTTTTTTTTTTAATTTGTAGTCAAGAGCCCAAGTTTACAGTCATGCAGTAACTCATCTTACGGTTTCAAGGAAATATTTAATTGAATGCATTGTTGATTAAATTTAATGTGAATGTTTCTAACGAATTTATCGTGAGATTCTAAACACAGTCCTTTTTAAGAATGGGAGAATATCGAACTAATTTAGTTTCTTTTTAAGAGAAACTTATTTTAGGGTTTTAACTCACATCCTAGGGGGTTAGGTTTGACCGGTTCAAATTCCACCAAATAATTATAGGCCCATCAACTAATGGGCCGAGATTTGGGCCTTCATCCAAACAGATCTCGGACCATTCACAAGAGAATTTTAACGTTCCGTTTTCCATAATCTATTTTAAGACACTTGTAGTTTGCGTGAAGCCGGAGAAGAAGAAGAAGAAGAAGAAGAAGAAGAAGAAGAAGAAGAAGACTGAAAAATCGATCGAGACGGAGCAGTCGATGCTCCCCCACCTCCGCCGTCGAACGCTTAAGTGGGTCGGGAAGATGGAAATCGTCACTCCGAATCCGGTCGATTCCATCCCCGTGTTCGGCGGTCAAATCTTTCGCCGCGTCCGTTCACTTCGGCTCTCGTCCCGTACCGTCCCCGACATCTGATTGCGTTAAAATCGTGCTAATTTTGGCCGCCTACGAACTCTCACAGAATCTGGAATTTCGTCGCTCTCAGGAGAAGGCGGAGAGGGAGATTTTCTCCAATTCCTTATAAATACATGCCAAGATTCAAAGATCGTTTTACCCAAAAAAAAAAAAAGATTCAAAGATCGTTTTCAATTGACTGGGCATTATGTGTAAAATGAGATCGTTTTCAATTCCTTGGTAGGATCCCATTCGTTGGAAATCACTTGCAGATGTGGTCGACTGATAATCTCCAACATTACCAATTTGAAAGGCCTTCAGAATGGGGATACGTGCTATCAAGCAGGTCATAACCCTTAACCAGAATCTCTGGATCCAAATACATAGGACCTTGCGCAGTTGATCAGGTAAACAGTTTCCTCCATACATTGGTAGAGAGTTGCAGTTCTCATCGGGCGTTGTTGTTTTAACACGCAGCGTGGATTTGAATATCTCAGAAGTTTTAGCTCAATAAGGTCAATTACTCAGAAGATTACATCTGACGACTCACTGAAACTTTTAAGACAAAAGCTAAGTTACATTGGTTAAGCAACTCTAGTGTTTCCGTTCCGAGGAGAGTTTTCTCCGTCCTAGCCCAAAAAGAAACTGATGGAAAATGTACAAAGCTGGTCTTGTTGCATCATAATGAACTGCTGAGCCGAGACGTGAGGTCTGCAAATATTTCTTCACTGCAGGGTATCGTGAGTCCACCCGTCGGATGATCAAAGCCAAACTCTTCTTCGGCTTTTCTCAGCAAATCTTGAAACGAAGGCTCGTTCAAGAACGATACCGGGACCAAGAATCTCTTCTTCCGGCTTTCCCCAACGTAAACCGCAAAGTGCCCCTTTGGAACATCGCCAGATTGGAATGGTTTTGCTTGCCGGAAAAGTTGCTTCGAATGCAGACTGCGAAGAACCCGGAAAGCCATGGAACTGATTGTGTAAGTGTCTTCTTCTATGTGTACCCTTTCTATCAAAGATGACAGCTTTCTTGTGCAGGTCGAGAGATTTACTTGATAACATATATTTATAGATTCAAGTTGGCAATTGAATATAGGCCTTCATAATTTGGCGCAAAGAAAATCAGCTAATAAGCACCAACCATCACATGGCTTTGTCTTTCAAGTCGACAGAAGAATTGTGGCTTAGCGTTTTTGACGAACATTTTGCAAGACAAGAACCAACTCATGCGGCCCTGACTGTATTTTGTCCACAGAAAAATCGTCGAGTTTTTCAGTCACGTGGAAGAGTGATAAATAGTGAATAAGGCTTGTCGCCATGTTGGTATGCGGCTTCAGGCCTCCACATAAAAATACAATATCCAAGTCAATGTCATGGACAAGAGCATATGGTTATGGTGGCATGTCATCTTTTCATTACAAACATTGAGAAGACAAACCCTTGTGAAGTAGATATGAAGCTGTCCAGAGATGATGATTGACCCTCTTCCATTTAAGATTAGAGTTAACTTGACCCACCATCATATATTACAATCATACAAAATTTGATGTTTAACATGAAGGAGGGCAAAACCATGTGAACTATCAATGTGCATGACCCATGAAACCTCTTGGCCATCATCTTTATATACAGAACCAAACTCTATCTCTCAAAACATAACAATCTCTTGGCATCAACAAAAAAAGAAATCCAAAGTTTTTTTTTCTCTCTCGATCTATATTCAGAACACAACATAAATGGCTTTGGCGAGGGGTCTATTGGGTGGGAAGAAAAATCTAAACAGAGTACCAAAGGGACACATTGCAGTGTACGTGGGAGAGGGAGAGAAGACGAGATATTTGGTGCCTCTTTCGTACTTGGATCAGCCTTCCTTTCAACAACTGCTTCGTAAATCCGAAGAGGAGTTTGGTTTCAGCCATCCGATGGGCGGACTCACAATCCCTTGTCCCCAACATGTTTTCGTCGCCCTAACTTCTCGGCTCCATTGACGAGAAAACACCAACTTATTTTTGTCTCAGTGTAGTGATTGAGTTTTTTCTCCGTGTATATACACAGACAGTTTTCTCATGTGGAGAAACCATTTCTATGTAGAGGATGTTTTTGGATAAGTTAGTAATGGTTTCATACATGTAAATGTATCTCTATCCAAAATTTGGATTCTCAATGATTTTGTGGGCTCAAAATATAACTTTGTTTCTTTCTCAGTTGGAAAAATCTATGGTAAATAAAAAAGTTATATTTGGACTAAATTAAGATGTTATTGATTCTTGACTAAATATTATTACATTAATCTTAGCAAATAATGACATAGATAGCAAACTTCTACCACCGCGACATATATGAATCCAAAATCTCCAACAATCTACTTTGATGGAGGAGGAGGTGCTACGACCTTAGGACAACTACTTTTGAGAAGATGAACAAAAGGATTTAGAGGGAAAATGGATGGTAAACAATTTTCAGTTAAATCCAAAAGTTCCTTACAACATGAAATTCCGATATTTCCAAACTGTCCTGTGAAGATTGACGTTGATATTTGCAACAAACATCCCGGGATGTTGAAGAGCGTCGATCCACACTTTGTCACATCTGGAAACCCTAAACCGGGAATGCCAGGTGGGAAGAGTCCAGGTAAACCGGAAAGTTGTTACGGTTGTTGCCCTTCCGCCGCTAGACTTTGTTTCACACAATCAGTGAGGCACAAACTCACAATTAGCATCATTGAAAAGATCACTCTCGGCTTGCTCTCCATTCTTTAGATAATAAACAACAAGAAATAGGACGATTTATTTTCTTTTTTTCTTCTTACCAACAAAATGCTCTGGTTGATATGAGAAACGAATAAACATATGTGAAATTTATAGGGTCCAAAAAGCTGCCGGTTTTGATTTTAAATTCAATGCTTACTAATTGCAATGCAAGAGTTACAGTGATATTTAGTTTCCAGAGTTTTTTATTTGTGGTAAATGGTTACAAGATCCTAAAATTACAGTCATGCAGTAACTCGTTTTTCTGTTTCAACAAGACATTTAAGTGAACTAATTTGGTTTTCAAAGATTTTTTTTTTAAAGGTTTGACCCACTTTTGGTTTGGCGGCGGACCGTTTCTAACTTTAAAGAGAATCATAGGGAACGTTCTTGAATAAGGTCCTTTTTAGGTGATAAATAGGGTGGCCATTTCGGTTTTCGGTTCGGTTATTTCGGGTTCGGTTATATCGGTTATAAAAAAATCATACCCAAACGGTTATATAGATTTAATCGGTTCGGTTCAGTTCGGTTTCGATTCGGTTCGGTTCGGTTTTTACATAATAAAATTATAACCAAACGGTTATATTTTCGGTTTATTCGGTTCGATTTTAGATCGGTTCGGTTCGGTTATGATATATTTTGAAAAAAAGATTATTAATCCTGCATAAACTTCAAAATATCTATCCAAATAAATCCACAAAATGATTAATCCTCCAATAAAATTATAAAAAAAAATCTTTAAACTTCAATAATTAGGATAAAAATTAAAAACATTAAATTTTATGGCTTATTAGATGAAATATATAAAGTTCAAAGTGAAGTATAAAAAAATAATACTAATAATAATGAGGGTAAAAGTTAAAATATTTAAAAAACTCAATAACCGTTCGGTTAACCGCGGTTATTCGGGTCGACAGTTAACCCGAATGGTTATTCAACTTCTTCAACCGTTCGGTTATTAAGCAAATAACTGAATTGATGATAAAATTACTTTGTTCATTAGGCAACAAATAAAATCATAATACAAATCTACTTTGTTCATTAGGCAACAAATAAAATCATAATACAAATCTCTAATTCACATGAATCATTTGGTCATGGAAACCAAGTAAGGTTTTTATAAAGATGAGATCACACGTCAGATTTTCATATAATATTTTTATATGGTATCAAAGCCACAAATATTCTAACACATTGTCCAAATCTTATCGTTCTTGCAAGTTTGATAGTCAATTCTTTATTTTCGTTCTCTTCACTTTATTACCAACCGTTGCTTGACATCAAAAACGCACTTGGAAAGGGTGAGAAGACATTCGGCATTTGGGGATCAAAGAGTGTTTTCCATCTCATGTGAATGTCCTAACTGTGTGTTCATGTTGTGGCTGCCTTTGAAGGACCCTTGAGTCTCAAGGACAACAATCTGCATAACCAAAGTGGATCGGGTGCGAACAAATGGAAAGAATTCGCTCGTAACATTAACTACTCAGAATCTTTGGTCCTTCAACTCACTAAAACATTAACACAAAGCTATGTTACATTAGTTCCTCCGAAGAGAGTTTTCCCTGTCCCATCTTTCCTGGGGGAAAAAATCCGACCAAAAATGTACAAGATCGGGAAACAGAATCTACAAAAACTGGTATCGTTGCATCATAATGAACTGCTGAGTCGAGACGTGAGATCTGCGAATACTTCTTCGCTGCAGGGTATTGTGAGTCCGCCCGTCGGGTGATCGAATCCAAACTCTTCTTCGGCTTTTCTCAGCAAATCTTGAAACGAAGGCTCGCTCAAGAACGATACCGGGACCAAGAATCTCTTCTTCCGGCTTTCCCCAACGTAAACCGCAAAGTGCCCCTTTGGGACATCGCCAGATTGAAATGGTTTTGCTTGCCGGAAAAGTTGCTTTGATTGCAGACTGCGAAGAACCCGGAAAGCCATGGAACTGATGTGTTAAGTGTCTTCTTCTCTGTGTACCCTTTCTGCGAAAGATGACAACTTTCTTGTGTAGTTAGAGAGATTTACTCGGTAACATATATTTATAGATTGAAGTTGGCACTTGAAGATAGGCCTTCATAATTTGGCCCAATGAAAATCGGCTAATAAGCACCAACCATCACATGGCTTTGCCTTCCAGTTGACAGAAGAGTTCTGGCTTAGTGTTTTTGCCAAACTCATGCGGCCCGGACTTTATTTTGTCCACAGATAAATAGTGAATAAGACTTGCTGCCATGTTGGTACGCGGCTTCAGGTCCCCACATAAAGTACGATCTCCAAGTCAATGTCATGGACAAGAGCATATGGTTATGGTGGCGACTCATCTTTTCATTACAAACATCGAGAAGACAAACCCTTGTGAAGTAGATATGAAGCTGTCCAGAAATGATGATTGACCCTCTTCCATTTAAGGTTAGAGTTAACTTGACCCACCATCATATATATAACAATCCATTATTGCAATCATACAAAATTTGTGGTTTAACATGAAGGAGACAAAACCATGTGAACTGTCAATGTGCATACCCCATGAAACCTCTGGTCGATCATCTTTATATACAGAACCAAACTCCATTTTCAAAAACAAAACAATCTCTTGGCATCAACAAAAGAGAAATCAAAGGTCCATTTTTTTCCTCCCTCGAAGTATATCCAGAAGACAATAGGAATGGCTTTGGTGAGAGGTCTATTGGGTGGGAAGAAGATCCTAAACAGAGTACCAAAGGGACACATTGCGGTGTACGTCGGCGAGGGAGAGAAGACGAGATATTTGGTGCCTCTTTCGTACTTGGATCAACCTTCCTTTCAAGAACTGCTTCGTAGATCCGAAGAGGAGTTTGGTTTCAGCCATCCGATGGGCGGACTGACAATCCCTTGTCCCCAACATGTTTTCATCACCCTAACTTCTCGGCTCCATTGACGAGAAAACACCAACCTATTTTTGTCTTAGTGTAGCGATTGAGTTTTTCCTCTATGTAAATACACGCACACAGTTTTCTCCTCTTTCTTTTTTGTGTGGAAACCATTTCTATGTAGAGGATGTTCTTGGATAAGTTAGTAATGGTTTCATACATGTAAATGTATCTCTACCCAAAATTTGGATTCTCAATGATTTTGTGGGCTTAAAATATTACTTTATTTCTTTCTCAGTTAGAAAAATATGTGGGAAATAAAAAAAAAATTATATTTGGACTAAATTAAGATGTTATTGATTCTTGACTAAACATTATTACATTAATCTTTGCAAATAATGACATAGATGGCAAACTTCTACCATCGCGACATATATGAATCCAAAATCTCCAACAATCTACTTTGATGCAGGAGGAGGTGCCACGGCCTTAGAACAACTACTTTTGAGGAGAGGAACAAACGGATTCAGAGGGAAAATGGATGGTAAACAATTTTCACTTAAATCCAAAAATTCCTTGCAACATGGAATTCCGATATTTCCAAACTGTCCGGTGAAGATTGACGTTGATATTTGCAACAAGCATCCCGGAATGTTGAAGAGCGTCGATCCACACTTTGTCACATCTGGAAACCCAGGTAAACCGGAAACGCCAGGTGGGAAGAGTCCAGGTAAACCGGGAAGTTGTTGCGGTTGTTGCCCTTCCGCCGCTAGACTTTGTTTCACACAATCAGTGAGGCACAAACTCACAATTAACATCATTGAAAAGATCATTCTCCACTTGCTTTCCATCTTGTAGATAATATATAACAAGAAATAGGACGGCTTGTTTTCTTTTTTTCTTCTTACCTACGAAATCTGCTAAATGTTTTGGATGATATGAGAGAAAAAATATATGAAATTTATAGGGATAAAAAAAGCTACCGGTTTTTATTTTACAAGTCACATTTTCAATCAATGCGTAACCTATTAATTGCAAGAGATGCGGTTAAATTCAGCTTCAAGAGTTTTTTTTTTTTTTAATTTGTAGTCAAGAGCCCAAGTTCACAGTCATGCAGTAACTCATCTTACGGTTTCAAGGAAATATTTAATTGAATGCATTGTTGATTAAATTAAATATGAATGTTTCTAACAAATTTATCGTGAGATTCTAAACACTGTCTTTTTAAAAAATGGGAACCGGTTCAAATTCCACCAAATAATTATAGGGACTTGTACATATTGGCGGATTTAAGAAAAAAAAATTATAATTGGGGATAATTTTAAATTTATTATGATTTTTAAGGACAAACTTAAATTTATTATGGGAGTATTCATCAAATTTATTTAATTTTTTTAAAATTTAGAAAAGAAATATTTTTTTAATTAGAGAAATGGGGGCAGAGCACTCCAGAGTCGTTGAGCTGGGTCTCCCCCCTGCTTGACATCTCCTTGAGATAAAAAGAAATCTCCTCCATATACGAGTAAAATTCATAAAATTTATGATAATTAATAAATTTATCTGTGAAAAATGTATGAAATTTAAATGCTAATAAATAATAGATGATCCAAAATCAAAGGAACTAAAAACTAAATAATTTAGTTTTCAGTAACTGATATTTATAACCATGCTATATAATAATATCTATTTTAATAATTAAATAAAAATAAATATCTATTTTTAGTTATATATATAATTTAAAAATGATATTTCTAAATTTGTACTGATCGATAAAATAAAATTTAAAATTTTTCATAAAAATAATTTTTTTGTAAATATTGTTATTGGGAGCTAATTTTAAAATTTTAAATACAATATTTGTAGAAGTTATTTAAAAAAAAAAAACTGGATCCCACCTAAACTGTGGGGTCATTTACACTTCTTCTAAGATGGACGTGATTCTCGATTGAGGTCATATGCCATTTTCGACTCACAAAAACGTTAAGACAAAGCTAAGTTACATTAGTCAAGCAACTCTGTTGTTCCCCGTTCGGAGGAGAGTTTTCCTCGTCCTATCTATTTTCATCGAAAAAAAAAAGAAACTGATCGAAAATGTACAAAACAGATGTTGTTGCATCATAATGAACTGCTGAGCCGAGACGTGAGATCCGCGAATACTTCTTCGCTGCAGGGTATCGTGAGTCCGCACATCGGGTGGTCGAATCCAAACTCTTCTTCGGCTTTTCTCAGCAAATCTTGAAACGAAGGCTCGTTCAAGAACGATACCGGGACCAAGAATCTCTTCTTCCGGCTTTCCCCAACGTAAACCACAAAGTGCCCCTTCGGGACATCGCCAGATTGGAATGGTTTTGCTTGCCGGAAAAGTTGCTTCGAATGCAGACTGCGAAGAACCCGGAAAGCCATGGAACTGATTGTGTAAGTGGCTTCTCCTCTGTGTACCCTTTCTATCAAAGATGACAGCTTTCTTGTGCAGTTCGAGAGATTTACTTGATAACATATATTTATAGATTCAAGTTGGCAATTGAAGATAAGACTTCATAATTTGGCGCAAAGAAAATCAGCTAATAAGCACCAACCATCACATGGCTCTGTCTTTCAAGTCGACAGAAGAATTGTGGCTTAGTGTTTTTGCCTAACATTTTGCAAGACAAGAACCAAACTCATGCGGCCCTGACTGTATTTTATCCATAGAAAAATTGTCTGAGTTTTTCAGTCATGTGGAAGAGTGATAAATAGTGAATAAGACTTGCTGCCATGTTGGTATGCGACTTCAGGTCCCCACATAACAATGCCATCTCCAAGTCAATATCATGGACAAGAGCATATGGTTATGGATGGTGGCATCTCATCTTTTCATTACAAACATTGAGAAGACAAACCCTTGTGAAGTAGATATGAAGCTGTCCAAAAACGATGATTGACCCTCTTCCATTTAAGATTAGAGTTAACTTGACCCACCATCATATATTACAATCATACAAAATTTGATGTTTAACATGGAGGAGGCAAAACCATGTGAACTATCAATGTGCATGACCCATGAAACCTCTTGGCCATCATCTTTATATACATAACCAAACTCTATCTCTCAAAACATAACAATCTCTTGGCATCAACAAAAAAAGAAATCCAAAGTTTTTTTTTCTCTCTCGATCTATATTCATAACACAACATAAATGGCTTTGGCGAGGGGTCTATTGGGTGGGAAGAAAAATCTAAATAGAGTACCAAATGGACACATTGCAGTGTACGTGGGAGAGGGAGAGAAGACGAGATATTTGGTGCCTCTTTCGTACTTGGATCAGCCTTCTTTTCAAGAACTGCTTCGTAAATCCGAAGAGGAATTTGGTTTCAGCCATCCGATGGGCGGACTGACAATCCCTTGTCCCCAACATGTTTTCGTCGCCCTAACTTCTCGGCTCCATTGGCGAGAAAACACCAACATATTTTTGTCTCAGTGTAGCGATTGAGTTTTTTCTCCATGTAAATACACGCACACAGTTTTCTCCTCTTTCTTCTTTGTGGGGAAGCCATTTCTATGTAGAGGATGTTCTTGGAGAAGTTAGTAATGGTTTCATACATGTAAATGTATCTCTACCCAAAATTTGGATTCTCAATGATTTTGTGGGCTCAAAATATGACTTTGTTTCTTTCTGAGTTAGAAAAATCGGTGGGCAATAAAAAACAATTATATTGGGACTAAATTAAGATGTTATTGATTCTTGACTAAATATTATTACATTAATCTTTGCAAATAATGACATAGATAGCAAACTTCTACCATCGCGACATATATGAATCCAAAATCTCCAACAATCTACTTTGATGGAGGAGGAGGTGCTACGGCCTTAGAACAACTACTTTTGAGAAGAGGAACAAACGGATTTAGAGGGAAAATGGATGGTAAACAATTTTCACTTAAATCCAAAAGTTCCTTGCAACATGGAATTCCGATATTTCCAAACTGTCCTGTGAAGATTGACGTTGATATTTGCAACAAGCATCCCGGGATGTTGAAGAGTGTCGATCCACACTTTGTCAAATCCGGAAACCCCGCACCGGGCGGGAAGAATCCTGGAAAACCAGGAAGTTGTTGCGGTTGTTGCCCTTCCGCCGCTAGAATTTGTTTCACACAATCAGTGAGGCACAAACTCACAATTAGCATAATTGAAAAGATCACTCTCGACTTACTCTCCATTATGTAGATAATAAACAACAAGAAATAGGACGATTTGTTTTCTTTCTTCTTCTAACCAACAAAATGCTTTGGATGATATGAGAAAGGAATAAACATATGTGAAATTTATAGGGTCAAAAAAGCTGCCGGTTTTGATTTTACATTCAATGCTTACTAATTGCAGGAGTTACAGTGATATTTAGTTTTTTATTTGTGGTAAATGGTTACAAGAGCCTAAAATTACAGTCATGCAGTAACTCGTTCTTCTGTTTCAATGAAACATTTAATTCGATGCGTTAAAGATGAAGTCACATGTAAGATTTTTATCTAATATTTTTATTTTAGGACTTTGTCCAAATCTTATCGTTCTTGAAAGTTTGAGAGTCAAGTCTTCTGTTGTGGCTGCCTTTGAAGGACCCATGATTCTCAAGGACAACAATTTGCATAACTCAATGGAAAGAATTTGCTCACAATCTTCGATCCTTCAACTCACTAAAACGTTAAGACAAATCTATGTTACATTAGTTCCTCCGAAGAGAGTTTTCCCTGTCCTATCTTTTCTCGGGGAAAAAATCCGATTAAAAATGTACAAAACTGGTATTGTTGCATCATAATGTACTGCTGAGCCGAGATGTGAGATCCGCGAAGACTTCTTCGCTGCAGGGTACCGTGAGTCCTCCCATCGGGTGATCGAATCCAAACTCTTCTTCGGCTTTTCTCAGCAAATCTTGAAACGAAGGCTCGTTCAAGAACGATACCGGGACCAAGAATCTCTTCTTCTGGCTTTCCCCAACGTAAACCGCAAGGTGCCCCTTTGGAACACCGCTGGAGTTTGAGGGCATGAATGATTTTGCTTGGCGGAAAATTTGCTTGGATTGCAGACTGCGAAGAACCCGGAAAGCCATGGATCTGATGTGTAAAAGTCTTCTTCTCTGTTTACCCTTATTGCCAAAGATGACAGCTTTCTTGTGTAGTTCAAGAGAGTTACTTGGTAACATGTATTTATAGATTGAAGTTGGCACTTGAAGATGGGCCTTCGTAATTGGCGCCAAGGAAAATCAGCTAATAAGCGCCAACCATCACATGGCTTTGTCTTTCAGTCGACAGAAGAATTCTGGGTTAGTGTTTTGCCGGCCCGAACTGGATTATGTCCACAGAAAAATTGTCTTCAATCATGTGGACTTGTTCTTTGAAATCGTCAAAAAAAGAAGAGTGATAAATAGTGAATGAATGTTGCCATGTTGGTTGGGACTTCAGGTCAATACAATCTCGAAATCCATGTCATGGACAAGAGCATATGATGGTGGCCTCTCATCTTTTCATTATCCATTCTAAAAACATTGAGAAGACAAACCCTTGTGAAGCTGTCCAGAAATGATGATTGACCCTCTTCCATTTAAGATTTGAGCTAACTTGACCCACCATCATATATTGCAATCATACAGCATTTGTGGTTTAACATGAAGGAGACAAAACCATGTGAACTGTCAATGTGCATGCCCCATGAAACCTCTGGTCGATCATCTTTATATACAGAACCAAATTCCATCTCCCAAAACACAACAACCTCTTAGCATCAACAAAAACAAGAAAATTTAAAGTTCTTTTTTTTTTCTCCCTCGAACTATATTCAGAAGACAATAGAAATGGCATTGGTGAGAGGTCTAATGGGTGGGAAGAAGATCCTAAACAGAGTACCAAAGGGACACATTGCAGTGTACGTCGGCGAGGGAGAGAAGACGAGATATTTGGTGCCTCTTTCGTACTTGGATCACCCTTCCTTTCAACAACTGCTTCGTAGATCTGAAGAGGAGTTTGGTTTCAGCCATCCGATGGGCAGACTGACAATCCCCTGTCCCCAACATGTTTTCGTCGCCCTAACTTCTCAGCTCCATTGAAGATGTTTTCTTAAGAAAACACAAATATTTTTGTCTCATTGCTGTGAATACACAAACAGTTTTTTCCTCTTTCTTATTGATAGAAAAAGTGTACGTAAAACGTTCTTGGATAAGTTAGTATTGTTTCCATGCATATAGATGTGCATATCTGCCCAAATATAATCAAATAGAGACTGGATTCTCAATGATTTTCGATAGAATGAGAGTAAAATCTGTCGCAAATAAAATTGTTATATCGAGACCAAAGATGTTATTACTAAACATAATTATTTCAATATCTTTATCAATAACAGAGACATAGATCCTCTTGCAAACTTCTACCTCCGCGAAATATAAAAACCCAAAAACTCCTACATTCTACTTTGATGCAGGAGGAGCCGCCACAGCCTTGGAACAACTACTTTTGAGAAGGGGAACAAACGGATTTAAAGGAAAAATGGATGGTAAACAATTTTCACTTAAATCCAAAAGTTCCTTGCAACATGGAATTCCCACGTTTCCAAACTGCCCAGTGAAAATTGACGTTGATATTTGCAGCAAGCATCCCGGAATGTTGAACAACGTCGACCCGCATTTTGTCAAATCCGGAAAACCGGGTAAACCGGGCGGGAAAAGTCCAGGGAAACCGGGAACGCCGGGCGGGAAGAGTTCAGGTAAACCGGGAAGTTGCTGCGGTTGTTGCCCTTCCGCCGCTAGGCTTTGTTTCGCGCAATCAGTGATGCACAAACTGACAACTAGCAACGTTGAAAAGATCACCCTCCATTTGCTCTCCATTGTGCAGATAATAATATAACAAGAAACAAATACGGTTCTCGATGGTATGTGAAACCAGAAACAAACATATGAAATTTATAGGGTTAAAAAAGCTACCGGTTTTTATTTTACAGTCAATGCTTATTAACTGCAAGAGTTACAGTGACATTTAAGTTTCAAGAGATTTTTTTTTTATATTTGAAGTAAATGGTTATAAGAACCAGAGTAACTCATTCTTCTGTTTCAACGAAACATTTAACTTACTGTCCTCTTTCTCTAACACTTCAAAGGTGTTTGAAATAAAATAAAAGGGTGGGCCGGTTCTATCCGGTTTATTAAAATCCAACCGGGAAACCGGTTCGAATTAAACCTGTAATTTTAACCCATTGACGTGGCTGATTCAATCGGCAGAAACCAGAAATATGAGGATTCCCTGTCCTTTCTGGTTCAGCTGTTGATCCCTCCGATAATACCCATAACAACAAAGAATGTAAACAAACCGAGCGTTCCCACAAATGTTCTTGGAATCAGTCGTCCGATCCTGAAACAGACAAATTGTTTCATCACAACAGTTCCTGAACTGAAAGGTGTTGAAAGAAGACAAGATCTTGTTCTGTTTTTTTTTTTCTGCAGTTCACTTACCCGAAAACTCGGGGATAACTCTTCTTTACGGGCAGTATCTCCTTTCCTGACAGCCTGCAAACCGAAATCCAGACTAGTGTGAGGTACCGGACAAGCCCATACGAATACGAATGCTCTTCTCCAAATTTGAGATTCGAACTCGGGAAGAGACAGATGGAAAGCGTGTTTTACCGATTGAACTATCCAAGTTTGGGTAACATCGAGTTTACATCGGTTTTACTTTCTCTACAAGAAAAAAGGTTTCGAAAGATTCATTACCTCGGGATTTCGGAGCGAGTAATGCATCGGTTTGCTACGTATACATCTTTGATCTTCTCTTCTTCAATAGAGGGAAGACTCAGCGGCTTTTTTAATGCACTGGCATGTTCAATGGCTGCTCTACACAAAGATTCAGTGTAATCCTCTCTTGCTTGGCAGACGAGGGCGACACCTGTCTCTAGAACAGTAACTTGATCGCCGAAATCCACCACGACTTCCACCCGATCTCCTGTTTCTAACCTGAAACTTTCGTTGGAGAGGTGACCTTGCCAAAGGTGCTCAGTCCGATACATACGGATATGAAGTGTTGCCGGTCTGCAGGTCCAGACACTGCCTCTGGTGTGATTCTTCACCGTGATATGCGGAGAATATACACACATCTCATCGTCTAGATGGCTCGTGTAACGGGTGCATAATGTAAATCCCATCAATTCAAAGCTTATAGTTTCGGGAACGGTGAAAGAGACCGACTTTTTCTCGTCCTTGAAGCTAAACCAGCTTGGAAGCCGAGATCCCGGGATAAATATGCCACCATAGCCGCTGACAGTCCATCCCTATACCAGAAACACTTATACTAGTAAAAAGTTCATAAGTGAATCGATTTCTCTTCGTTACGATTATTTGATATACCAAGAGACATTATTCAATAAAACCGGGAATGAAAACAGACCTGCAGGACACTTTCTTTGAAAGAATCTTCTATGCGGTTGCACATTTCCATGCGGATAACTCTGACTGTTTTCAGTTTATCCAGTCCCGGGGTCTCGACCAGGTTGAGACAGTTGGTGAGATGCAGAGCCTGCAGAAACGAGCATTCGGACAGATCCGGAGTTCTTTCCAACGAGACACAGTTAGTTGCGTAGAAGGATTTCAAGCTCGCAGGTAAACCGACAAGGGATTTCAGTTTCGAGCAATTATCCAGACGAAGAATCCGGAGATTTATAAGAGTAGCGAAGTCGATTTGCAATTCGTGGAAGTTGTTTCCACGTAAGTCAAGTTCCTCAAGACAAGACAAAGTCCCGAGATCTTCTGGAATCAGCTCGTCGGGTAAGTTGCAGTAACTTAGCCTTAAAGTCCTTAGGCAGCTGAAGCCCTTAAACGAAACCGGAAGAAGACGAGTGCCGCAAGGGCTGGAGCCGTTCCACGATCCTTTGCATCCACAGAGAGATAAACTTTTCAGTTTCTTGAGATGAACAATCGAAGAGGGCACTTCCGCAATAGCCGTGAAATCCGCGAGAAGGGTTGACAAAGCTGACAATGCCCCTAAAGCATCATCCAACTTCCCGAGCCTCGAGCAGCCGGAGAGAATCAGAGTTTCGAGAGATTTCAATCTATAGAAT